TGGAATGGAGTCTTCATGCAGAGGGGGAGGAGGAACGGAGCTTGCGAGCTTGAGGTGATATTTTCCTTCCCCTTCCCCTGCCTCCTCCTCCTCCTCCTCCTCCTCCACCTCCTCCTCCTCCTCCTCCTCCTTCTCCGCTTGATGTGGGAGGAGACTAAAGAGGACATGTCAAAGCTCGTCAGCTCGGATATCAGGTTTGGGGATGCTGATACCAGCCGGGTCATCTTCAGGTCGATCTTGATTGTGAGAGGAGCAGCAGCAGCTTAAGAAAGGGAAGCAAGAGATGAATAGAGAGATTATCGGAGGACAGCAAGACGTGGACATCTGGAAGAGGAGGAGAAGAGGGAGGTAGAGGGAGGTAGAGGAGATAGGAGAGCGGTAGTGGAAACAGCAGGCAGATGTATGAAATCGCAGTAAGGCTGAATTGCTGTCATTGTGCAGGGACGTGAATACGAGAGGAGCAGTTTGGTGGCTTTACCCTGCCTACTTCAACGATTCTGCTGCTGGGTCTGAGGTGATGGGAAAAGTAACATGTGTTGTCACGCAACGATGAGTGCACATCTCAAAATCAGAAGAAAACACAACAAGTTTGTCGACATCTCTACATCTACATCTACATCTACATCTACATCTACATCTACATCTACATCTACATCTCGTCAGCTGCAGCACTAGCAATCGCTTGTCCGCCTCTCATCACCCGTGCAAACATTCCTGTTTTTTTCTCTCCGAATGATTTGCCATGATGGGACATTGGTACTCATTTGAAACAAGAAAGAAGGAACATCATGCGCACAATGTGAATGATAGAGAGTGTTTCATGAAGACAGCTCTCAAGACCGTGTTATCCTTGCACTTCACTTCATTCTGTCTGCGTTAATACATGCTCCCCTTATCTTTCCGACAGGTCCCACCGGAGACAGGATGGAAGGTAAACATCGGCAAGCAGCCTGCTCCAGTCTTAAAGATCTTGAAGAATTGATCATATCGATTTCCCTCCTCCTCCTCCACCTCCACCTCCACCTCCACCTCCTCCTCCTCCTACTACTACTCATGATCTTCCTCCCACTTCTCTGCTCGCTCCCTCCGCCCTTAGCTCGTCAAGCACGCGCCATGAAGCAACAAGGAGCCGACAGGCGTGTCTTTGCTCGATCAATCTCGTAACACACTCCTCGCCTTGCTCCTCATCTGTAACCCGCCTCCGGCAGCGGCGGATCTGATGGCGGGCCCTTACTGGGGCCCTGCGGGTTCTGCTTTTTCTTCTTGAAGGCCTTGGTCAGCACTGAAGACCAGAGGGACCCGGGGTGGAGGAACCACTGGGGAGCAGACGTCTCCACCTTGAAGATCGTGTGGGGGGCCAACCCATCCTTCACCTGCGCCAGCGCATTCTGCAACGCGTACTGATCCTTGCTCTCCAGGGTCACCACGACCTGGTAGTCCTGGTTGCCCATGATGGGGTAGGAGCCGACGTCGACCTGCTTGTGGTCATGGTCGGCGTCCTGGAGGACCTGAGCGATGCTCGTCTCCGACTCGTTGATGTAGAGCTTCGCCACGAAGAAGGGATCTCGCTTCAGGTCATCCCGCACGAGCTCGAACTTGGCCTTGCAGTACTGGGGGACTCCGGGGAGGATGTAGACGTTGTTCTTGACTATGAGGGGCCACCTGTCCGGGCCCTCAGTGTTGCGGATGAGCTGGGAGCCTTGCGGGATGGACGCCATCTTCACGTGGTACTCGTTGATCTCTTCGTTGGGCAGGTGCTGGTTCAACAGCTCCAGGATCTCAGTCCGCGTCTGGAGCCCGCAGCCGAAGGCCTGGGCCACGGCCGGGAGGGTGACATCATCATGGGTTGGGCCGATGCCTCCTGTCACGAAGACGTACTTGTGACTGTCGCTCAGTCGCCTCACAGTCTCTGCAATCTTGTTCTGGTCATCGCGGATCATGACAACCTCCACTGTGTCCAGGCCAAGTTTGCGAAGCTCCTGAATCAAGAAATGGCCGTTTTCGTCCCTTGTCACTCCACCCATGATCTCGTTTCCTATCACGAGGATCGCAGCTTTCTCACCACGAGTGTGGGGAGTCGCCCTTGCGTTCTTCAGACGAGACTCCCTCTCGAGCGTCTCGTCCATCAGGAACCAGGCTTGTTTGTACTTCACTCCCTCAGGTTTAGCCGATTGCATCCCTGCCCAGCACAGACTTGTCAAGAGAGAGACTGCAGCAAGGGACAAACAGGATGGCAACCAACTGTCATCCCATCCTCACCTGGGACGTTGTGAGCGAGCGCCAGGAACGGCACGAGGTCCTTGGAGCGCGGATCGCCCTGAGTATCCTTTACCCCTCCCTTCGTCTGAATGCGGAGAGCTGGATTTCTAATCGTATCATTCACAGTCCCCAGGGAGGTGAAGCCTTCATCGTACAGGCTGCAGTAAGGTAGCTCGCACGAGATGATGAAATCCCAGACGTCCCTGTACGACCATTCCAGGATGGGATTGAACCGCAGGAAAGGAGGATAGTTGCCAGTCGAGGCAGTCAGTGCAGATAGCTTGGCGCAGCCCGGGTCTGTTCTCCGCGTTCCCATGATGATACATCTCAGAGGGACTTGCCTCTGTATCTTTGAAATGCCAGAGATGAAATCTTTCTCGCTCGCAATGTGCAGCGTCCATAGGCGGGAGAGCGGCTTTCCGTCCATGGAGCGGACCTGCCCGGGGTGCGTGAAGAACTGGCCTGCCTGCTGCTGCACGAAGCTGATCAGCTGTGGGAACTCGTCTGTTGGGTTCTTGAACCAGATGGGCTGCACATGAGTGAACTTGTGGGTCCTATGAAGTGAGCACGCCTCCCGGACCAGATGCATGACTGCACAAGCGTCCTTCCCGCCATTGAATGACAGCGCCAGAGTCCCGGGCTCCATGATGTCGAGCAGCCTGTCGATTTCCTTGATCGCCTTCAGAACTTTTTCTGCCGTGTTCTCATTGCCAGGACTCTGTCGGATCTTCTCGTACAGAGGGTACTTCTTCTCACGTAGCGCTCCCATGGCGAACGCCCTCCTACCATCATCCCACCGTCTCGTGTGCGAGATAGACACGAGAGAAACCGGATACAGGATAGACAGAGATCCTCCAACCTGGCGAAGACCTACAGGAAGTAGTCTATTGATCAACGCCATTCCTCTCCTCCTCTCCCCCAAAAGACGGCGCCGGATTTGTGCCCCGACTAGAGGATCTGCTGTATGTTCTGCCTGCTCGCTGCTGTCACTGAGCTCTCAGTATATCACTGTAAGCCTCTTGGGGTATGTCTCTCCTCCTCCTCTCCTCTCTTTTCTTCTCCTCCTCTCTCCTTTTCACCCTCACGTTCCTTTGCTTTCCGCCTCCGCCATTTTGTTTGATAAGGCCGCAAGAGCAAGCACCCCACTGACCCTACAGGTACCCCAACCCAATAGTACTCACACTCGTTACCTTCCACCCCTCCATCGAAATTGGTACCGGTAGTTTTACGCTACAGGTGAAAAATCATGCCGTTCTCGCTGGGGGTGTACACCCTTACCCCTTCATTTACCAATCTTTAACCCCTATTTCGCCACGTACGTTGTGGAGAAAGGAACGTTCCTTTGATGAATACCCACCCCAATGAGTAATGAACCTCTACAATACCTGACTACCTCAAACATTCATCAAATACCCCTCATTTTCTTTGTGTTCCATCACCCCCACCCCCATTCTGACTTCCGTCCTTTCCCCCATTTCCAACGCTGTACCACCATCACCCATCACAACTACTACCACCTCTGAAACTTACTTACCCTGTGCTATCAGATTTTTCCTATATGAAAAACTTAACTAATAAAAATCTGTCATACAGAAGTTTACTCTATTTCAATGACTTAAACGAATAACAAATTGTTTCGCTGAAGAATCAACCCCTATCAATAAGCACCCACCCCACCCATATTAGTTTTTTCCTGTCAATACCCCACTTTTCACAGTATTTTGTACCCCATTTTCATATGATCCAGGGTACGACATTGAAAGTTCACCCCTTACACCATCACCCCCACCCCCCAATCGATAACACCCATCCTCCTTGGGTCTTCCATTCCCCACCCCGCTCGGCCGCGCCATGGCGTGGGAAGTCCAGTGACCGCAGCCTTGCTTCCTCCTCTTCCATCGTCCTCCTCCCTCCTCCCTCCTGTACTCTCTTCGTGTCTCTGCTTCCCTCACTCCCAGCACTCGCTCCGTGTCCTCCCCCTCCCCGTTCTCCTCCCCTGGTCTGCAACAATATCTCCAGACCCTGCTTCGTTGTTCCTTACTCTCTCTGCTCCGCTGAACACCTTCTTTCCTTGACCCTTCACGTCACTTCATCGTCGTTTCTATCTCACCATGCCATCTCACTGCCATGGGAGAGCTCTAGCTCTTTTGTTCCTCTCTCTGGTCACAGCGACGTCCTCCCTGCCCCTGCAGTATCATAGGAAGGCAATTCGCTCTCCCTTTGCCTCCCTGGCTCTCAAGAGGGCCAGGCATGCTGGAGGACTAGCATGCGCTGCCGAGGGAGGAGCAACGGAGCAGGGAGCTGCCCCTGTCTTGTGCGCTCTTGGGCCCTCCTCCAATGTGAAGAAGGAGGCATACACAATAGGGAAGGCGGCGTCTGACGAAATGGAGAAGAGTACGTCAGCGGCGAGGCTGTCTCCCCTGCAGACGTTTGACCCTCTTGGCAACACTCACAAGGTGAACGTGTCGACTCTGATGTCAAGCACGTCCCTGTATGAGTTCAGCAGGGTCGACGGCCTGAGCTCCCTTGCCTCGACTACCTCGATGAGTCAGATGGAGATTGGTTGCCTCGGCATGCGCAGGGTGCCCAAGACCATCCACCTCCTCGCCTTCATGGTCCCCACGTTCGGCATCTACCTCGCCAACCCCATCCTCTCCCTCGTTGACACAGCTTGCGTCGGTCAGTTCTGCTCAAGGGAGGAGCTAGCTGCGCTGGGGCCAGGAGCTGCCCTGTGCGATATGGTGACGTACCTTGCAAACTTCCTCGCGGTGGCAACAACGTCCCTGCTCGCTTCTGCACTCGCCAAGAACGACAAGGAGGGAGCCAGGAGGGTCGTCGCCTGCGCGTTCACCATCTCCACCCTCATCGGGCTGGGCATGACGGCGGCGCTCACGGCCTTTGGCAGGGTGATGTTGGGCTGGTTCACGGGGAGCGGGCAGGCGGCAGCAGACACGCTCGACCTCTCCATGCGCTACGTGCTGATCCGAGGGCTCGGGTCCGCTCCCACCCTCCTCTGCATGGTGGCGCAGGCCGCGTGCATCGGGGCCAAGGACGCCGACTCTCCGCTAAGAGCCGTGGCGATCCTGGCTGGAGTGAACATCTTCCTGGACTGGCTCTTCGTTGGTCCCCTGAAGACGGGAGTGGGAGGAGCAGCGATCGCTACCACCATCTCGCAGTTCGCAGGAGCGTTCTACCTGTACCTGGCAGTGGATTCAACGCTCGGCAAGATCGAAGACGAACTGGACTGGGACGGGAACATCCTGCCTGGGAAGGAGGAGAAGAAAAGAAGCCGGAGCAGAAGAGAAAAGGACTCTTTGTGATCCCCACCATGAAGGAGTTCGTCAAGTTCTTTCAGTTCGCCGGCCCGATCTTCCTCATCTCCTTTGGCCGAGGCTACTGCTGGAACATCTGTACCCCTGCGGCAGCCGCGGCCGGAACGATCGCCCTGGCAGCGCACCAGATTGTGATCAACATCTTCTTCTTCTTCACCATCGCAGGAGAGTCGGTCTTCCAGACGGCTCAGGCGTTCATGCCGGAGTTCCAGGAGGAGCAGCTGCGGACGAAGGCCATGGGCGGTGAACTGCACGAGCAGGCGACGGCGCGGGTGAAGAAGCTGGCGAAGAAGATTCTTTCTATCTCGGCCATCATTGGAGTCCTGCAGGTGAGGAGAGGGAGGAAGAGGGAGGAGGAGGAGATGGAAAAAGAAGGGAGGAGGAGGAGGAGAAGGAAAGGGGGGGGAGGAGGAGAGGGAGGAGGGAGGCAAAAGAGGGCCGAGGAGGAAGACGAGGAGATAGGAGGAGGAGGACATGTACCTTGTGCGCAACTTTGACAACTTTGACAACATCGTTGATTGCTCTGTGTTGCTCCACCGATTTCTCCTTCTCCTGACCAGCATTTCTGCAGAGCGTGTTGAGCCTGATCCCGACGTACGTGTTCCCAGGTATCTTTGCTCAGGACAAGCTTGTGGTAAGAGACCTGTCTTCTACCTGAACTTCTCATGTACCTGACAACCCACGCGATGAACTTGTCTGGTACCTGAACACGAACTTCTCGTATGACGTGGCCCTTGTAGGTTCAGGAGGTCAAGAACCAAGCCTTCAACCTCGCGCTCGCCATCTTCCCGCACTGCATCACCATCGCGATCGAGGTAGGAAAAGAGCGAGGGAGCGAGGGAGGGAGAGAGGAAGCCCCCCCCCGGGGGGGGAGGCAGAAGGCAGCAGGCAGGCAGGCAGGCAGACGACCCCTCCGTCCTCTCCCTCCTTCCCTCCTCTCTCTCTCTCTCTGTTCACCCAACACCTCTGCGCTCGTTCCCTTCCCTCCGCATCTCCTCACGTCCTCCTCCAGGCTCTTCTGCTCAACAGCAAGGACCTTGACTTCCTCGGCGGCGCCTACATCGTCAAGAGCGTCTTGTGGACCGTCACCCTCAAGCACTTCGCCGACCAGCACGCGGTTAGACGCTCTTCCTCCTCCTCACCTCCCCACCTCCCTCCCTCCCTCACTCACTCACTCACTCACTCACTCACTCACTCACTCACTCACTCACTCACTCACTCACTCACTCACTCACTCACTCCATATCGTTACCTTCCAACGTACACCCACACCCGTCCTTCCTCCTTTCCTCAGCTCCCTCCTGTCCTCCTTTACCTCACAATTCTTCTGTTCCTCCTTCTCTTCCTTCTGATCGTTTTTTCTCAGAATCTCAACGTCCTCTGGAAGGGTATGATGGCTCTGCAATACATCAGAGCCCTTGTGGTAAGCCCGACGCCCCTTCTCCCTTACCTCCCTCCCCCTCCCCCCTTACCTCCCTCCCCCTCCCCCCTTACCTCCCTCCCCCTTTCCCCTTACCTCCCTTCTCCTCCTCTCCTCCTTACTGGGCTCTTCTTTCCTCTCCTCCCTTGTCCCACTTAACTTCTCATCCCCCCCTCCCTCTCCTCCTCCTCCTCCAACTCCACCACCACCTCTGCTGCTCTGATCTCACTCGCTAATTCTTCCAGTGGACTCTTCGGCTTATTCTCTCCGGCAAGAAACTCGGCATCCCAATCTACTCGAGGAAGAGCAGGTCTTCCTGCTCCTCCTGCTCCACCTCCTGCTCTTCTCTCCCCCCCCTCCCCTAGCCTTACGTCGTTTGCTTCCTTTCTGAATGTTAATGCAGGAAGCAACGAGTTCAGATGTCCAAAGAGAGTCCAGTCTAGCATAGAAACCTGATCCCATCCTCCTCCTCCCCCTCCCCCTCCTCCTTGCCCTCTCTCTCCTCCTGCTCTTCTTCAACTCTCAAGCCTCGGAAGCATTTCTTCTCGTTTCAACAAGGTTGATCATTGTGAATGTACTGAGCTAGACACGTCAAGTAATGCAACTCATATCTCATCATCATCATCATCATCATCATCATCATCATCATCGACTTTCCCACCTCCTTTTCCACTACCGCTGTCAGCTCATCTTCCACTGCTCCTTCCTCCTCCACCCCTGCACGTTGCAGAGTAGAAGCAGAAGCAGCAAGAGAAGGAAAGGGGAAGGACAACTACGCTAAGGTCAAGGAGGAGAAGGAGAATATGGATTGTCCTTCATAATTCGTCGTCCGTCTCCTTGGGGTCCAGTTTCTTGTTCGCAAAGTCATCTTCCCCGAAGAAGCTCGCGCGGACTTGTCGGCCACCGAAGAACCTGCCGTCGAGGTCCATGACAGCCTTCATGGCGCTCTCCTGCTCCTCCGTCACGTCCTGCAACTTGCGGCGGGAGGGAGAGAAGAGAAGGAGGAGACGGAGGAGGAGAGAAGAGCAGTGCATTGCAAAAGAGAGGAGAGGAGAGGAGAGGAGAGGAGAGGAGAGGAGTGGAGAGGAGGGAGGGAGGGAGGGAGGAGAGGAGAGGAGAGGAGAGAAGGAGAGGAGAGGAGGAGCTGGAGTATGCACAGACAGAGCAAGTGAAAATGACAAGTAGGGTGCAGAAGAGGCAGCGCAGCAGCAGCGAGCAACCAGTAGGGAGGGAAGGTAGGGGAGGGGGAGGCGCTTACCTGCTTGCCGAAGAGGAGGAAGATCCTGACCGCCTGGTCCTCCGGAGCTCCAGGAGGCAGCTCATGGATGACGCAGCGGGAGATGAAGCCGTACTTTGAGCACTCCTGCTTCGTCTCCTCCTCCAGCCGCTCGTCCACCTCCCCCGCCCCGACCATGTTCGTCAGCAGGACGCAGCGGCTGGGAGCTCCGAGCTGTCCGAGCTCGTTGCTCACTATCCTCCCGGTCTTGTTGCCAGTCTTGTGCGCTTGCAGAGCTGCGGTGATCCCCTGGCTCTGCGCCCCGAGCCCCTTCCCTTCCTCCCAGCCCATCCTCTTCATCATCTTCTCTGCAAACGAACCTCCGCCTTCTTCGTCCCCTGCTCCTCCTCCTCCTCCTCCTCCTCCTCCTCCTCCTCCTCCTCCCGGAGCTCCGATCTGCAACCAAAAGCTCACCAGCGGGATTCCAAGTTCCCTCCTCCTCACCTTCGCAGCAATCTGGGCAGCCGCCGCCTTCCATGAGGGCTGGTTGTTGATGCCGCGGCCAGCAGGAGCAGCAGGAAGTGTGTCTGACGGCATGGGCGGCGGCTTTGTGCTGGCGCCTTGCTGCCATGCAGGAACCGGCCTTCCCCTTCCTCTGCCTGCTGCAGGAGCAGGCGCTGCTTCAGCAGGAGGAGGAAGAGATGAAGCGGAAGGCGGAGGGTCCGAGAAGTTGCTGGTGGTCCTCGACCTCTCCTTGGGAGGGGAGCGAGCAGACCCTCTGTCGCGGTCCCTGGGGATTCAAGTCACTCCCTCCTTCCCCGCACCGGCACACTCACCTTCCGAAGTCGTCCCGATCCCCTCTGCTCCTGCTCCTGCTCCTGCTATTCCTGCTTCTGCTATTCCTGCTCCTGCTCCTGCTCCTGCTCCTGCTCCTGCTCCTGCTATTCCTGCTCCTGCTATTCCTGCTCCTGCTCCTGCTCCTGCTCCTCGTTCGTCCTCTATCCCTGTCTCTATCTCTGCTCCTGTCCCTATCCCTATCCCTATCCCTATCCCTGCTCCTATCGCGCGCTCTCTCTCTATCCCTGCTCCTGTCTCTGTCCCTGTCCCTGTCTCTTGATCGGTTCCTTTCCCGATTTCTTTCGTCTGCCAACTCCCAGGGAGCTGGGCCAGCCCGTCGGCGTTCCTACACGAAGACAGGGGTCAACAAAGATCCTCTCGGCGCTGGCGGAAACAGAGAGGAAGGAAGGAGATTGAACTGGAGGGAAGGAAGTTGAAAATCTGCTCACCTCCTCCTCTGCTTTCCTTTTTCCTGAGCTCTTCGTTCTTCTGCAAGAGGAACATTCACAATGAGTGCCCGTTTTCCGAAATCAACAGCAACTACAACAACCACTCCACAAAACCCATCTCAATCATCGATAACGACGACGATACTACACAGTCGTCGTCGTCGTCGTCATCATCATCATCATCATCAACAACTCTCCATCTCAATTTCCATCGTACATCTTTCACGACAAGACTTACTTCAGTGATGTAGGTTGAGAACTCATTGGGTCGGGCGGGATCGTACTCATTCACCAGGTTCTGAGCAGTGAGCGAGTCTATTCCTGCTTGTCCCCTGCACTCACATCAACAAGATCCAGGACAGCACGACGGCACTTGTACCTTGAAGAGAACGCGCTTGAACTGTCCGACAGCTGCGATTCCTGAAAGCTCTCCCCTTACTCCTCGCACGACGGCTGACCCGCCGCTCACCTTGTGCACTACAGTCACCACGGTGTTGGTGACCGGCCTCTTGACGGGAGGAGGAGCTGCCCTGCAGGAGACGAGGTAAGGGAGAGGGACGGTAGGAAGATGAAGATGCATCGAGTTACCTGGGTGCCTGCGACGGTCTCTTCAGGATAGTAGGAGCCATCATCTTCGTCGCTGCGCCTGACTTGAGCACGAGGATCCATAGCATACTAACCTCGCCGGACCTGCGCTCCAATGGGATGCAGACGTCGACGCGGGCGGTGCAGGAGCAGGAGGAGGAGGCTCGACCTTTTCCTCTGCCTTTGCTGCCTCTGTCGCGCCATTCTCACCGACCGCAGTTTCGCCGCCATGAGAGCAACTCACCGATGTTCTCCTTTGCAACTTTTTCCGCCACACTGGCATTCCAGCCACTCACCTCCTTGCCTAGAGACAACGTGATCCTGAGGTCCAGGAAGCAAGAGCAAGACGGGAAGGGGAATGGGAATGATGATGATGATGATGTTCAACCTGTGGAGTTGGAGGCAGCTGGGAGGTCTGCGTAGAGATCCATGCCGTCCTCTTGCTTCTACTTCACCCTGGCAGGACGCTCGTCACTGTCATCCTCTTCTTGTATTTCAATGCTCTGAACTCGTTAAAGTCCTGCATGATCGAAATCCCCTGCCTCTCCTCTCCTACTTCCTGTTTCCTCTTCTTCGTCTCTCCTCCTTCCCTCCCCCCCACCCTCACTTCCTCCCCCCACCCTCCCCGCTCCTCTTCAGCATCTTCTCACGCGCTTCTGCTGCAAAGTTTGAAACTTGCGAACAAAGTTTTGACCCATTCTCAAAGTTTCGAACTTTTGCCAGTGCCATCCATGATCATCATGGCAGCGCCGGGCCGGGCCGGGCCTTAGGGCCCTTAGACAGGCTCTCACTGTCAGCCCCGGGGCCCTGCTCGGAGGGCCGGACTGCGTGGACTCGGTAACCGGGTGGCGGGCCCCGACGGCGGGTTTATCAAAGGACCCGCCTGTCAAGTTCGCCGCCGTCGGCGACATCCTGATCAACGGTTCCGTCCACAATGATTCAGAGTTGCAGGGCCGGTTGACTCGGAAGTTGCCTGCCGCCGACTCTCGGGGGCAACTGCCGCACTATGTGAGAGTCAGCAAACTTCCACTTCCATCGGACAGGAACGGAGTCTTGACCGGACAGAGTCACAGTGTCACAAGTTCATTCTGCTATTTTACAATTTCAAAATGAGATTCAAAGCATCAAGTTGATGATGATGCCCATCATTGAGCCTCCGCCAACCAAGGAATCAACTTCTGCGCATGATCCATGAGCACGCCTCGCACCTGAAGCAGAAGACCGTTAGACGATCACAGTCTCACTCCTTCGCCTCCCAAGCTCGTTCTCCTCACCCTGTCGAGGTCACCCTGCTCTACGCCGTTCTCTTCCAGTTCCTGGAACATGAAAAGTCAGCATCTGCTTTGCTATGGGGTTAACTCCTTGTATGAGGAGGGAGGATATTAGAGGCGTATCAGAGGAAACGAGGGAAGGAGGTACAGTCAGGTCCAACCTTGATCACAGAGAACTGCGCGAGGCTCTCGGCTTCGAGCATTGAAGGGTTGTCTTGTCCCTGTTACCTCATCAGAGCCATGCAAGAGGAGCAAGCAGCGTCACCATGTAGGCGGCCGGCGTTGTGTCAAGGGACTGAAGGATCCTATGAAAGTGAGGCAGCAGCTCCTCAGCTCCAATGTGCAGTGAAAGCTCCTGTTTGTGTCGTCAGCTCAGCCCCAACAGAAGACGGCAGAGTGACCAAGTCCACAAAAGTAGGAAACTCCTCATCGAGAACCGCCCGCTTGTCAACACCAAGAACACGATTCATGCAGGAGAGCAAATCTGTGACGCTGCAAGCTTTTCCTCGTCCAACTTTTCCCTGGACAAGGAAAGGAGGTTAGCACTCCGTTGCTAGTCGAATTGAATGAGAAAACCTCGCGTGAAACGTAGTTGGAAGGGACAAAGTCGGCAACGATCGATTGGTTGGAAGGCAGCGTGACTTTTGAAATGGCCTCTTTCGCCTTGATCGCTGACGCACGATCACGTAGAGTGACGACAATGTATGGGCGCTTTGACAAGAGCTGCTTCTTGGCGTCATCATGGTTTGGCTTGCAACAGCGATCAGACGAGAACGAGAGCACCAACACTTGAAATACCAGCAGCCCCTCAAAGTACTTCAGCAAGTCAGCTGGGAGGAAGACTCCAGGGTCCGTAGAAGCAATGAATAGAGTACAGTCGAAGCGATTTTGCCTTTCGATCACATCCTGCACCGACCTTGAGTCTCGCTGTGCTCTCCATGGACGAAATAAATCAAACCTGAATAGCACAGACCCGCGTGTCCCTGGGAACCTCATTGAACTTGACGGCCAGAAGCAGGCAAACCGCTGCAGTGACCTTGCGGCTACAAGCAAGAAAAATCAGTATCAAATTATTGAAAATGTCAGGACAAGTAAAAGAAGAGACAAAAACCTATGCTTGCGAACCAAGTTCTTCAAGATGAGCTTTTCCAAGTACACGTGTGCCATGGCTGCCGTTGATAACTCAAGATCCTGAGGATCCAAGTAAATTCAAAAGCATTTACAAAACCAACCACAGGATGCGAAGAATGCACAACTCACCAGAAGTTTTACGACTGTGACGATGCCAGATTTCAGCGCTCTGATCTTTGAAAGCGTGATCTCCCTTCCTTCCAACCAGTCTCCATGTTTGGCCAGAAATAGTCCATTGAGCTCTTCTTTCATGGCCAAAGGCTTCACATATGGAATGCAAGAAACCATATAGCCTTCTTGCTTGATTACAGTGCGGTCTTTGCTGATCCTCATCTCTGGATCATCAAGAAAGTAAGGGTTGTACTTTGGCTTCTCGTCTTCACTTCCACTGTCACTGCTCGATCTCCTTTCCAAAAGTTCTGCATAACTACCATGCTTGAGCCTCAGTTGTGTCTCTACTGAATGAACAATTTCACCAGGGTCGCCTTGAGGGCAAAAATCGTCTTGACGAAACTTAATAACTGAGAAAACACTGATAGGGGCTCGGAGAGCCCCGGTAACAACTGCAGGCGCGTGCATGTCTTGAGGATACAACATAATTCGTGAATCTAACAAATGAGCACTCGATAGGTTGGAAAACAACGCCAAGTTGCAATGTCCTTCACTCAGGACAAATTCTTTGCCCCTTTCCTTTTTCTCATACTGGTTTTCATCCTGTGGGACAAGCGACAAGGGATCAGTTTGCCTCTGTTCGTCAACCGGGAAAATGCATCGATCCTGTAAGATGCAGTCTTCGCTGTCCATGCTCGATCGAGCACTTCTCGTTCCAGTCTCAGCCTCGATAGCGGGATCTTCATACGAGTCACCTTCATGGCTTTCCTGATAACTTCCAAAAGACCGTCTTGCTTTCCGCATTCGTATCCTTCGCTCACTCTGATTTCTGGGAACAAGCAAGAAGCCGCCAATATGCCTTCTTTCCCAGTCTTGCTTGTTTTTGAATTGTCTGTTGTGAACATCTGCACCCAACCCGGCTTTTCGACGATTGTTTGTGGACACCATGCCGATGGATCCCATGAATCCCTCAAACGTACCCCATTCCATCTTGTTGCTCCATTTAGGGGGTGGGGTAGAGTCCTCTTCGGAAAAGCTGAGCTGCTTTGCTCTTGGCAGCAACTTAGGCGACATAGGAGGAATGTCCACGGAGTGATTTCTAGAGCCCACGTATTTCTGTGGAGATCCAACGTTCCAACTATCGCATCGCGGGCTTGGTGCCGGAAACTTGCTGTTCTCTTCGCCCACTCTTGCACTGGGCGGAGGATAAGCCTCATACAACCCTGTTGCAGGTGCTCCGAGGCTGATATTAGTCAAAAAATCCAGGCTTTCACGTGCAGACTTTTCCCTCACAAGGTTGGCTGGAGTCGTACTCTGCAAGGGCAGCGAAGCACATCGCTCGACTGCAGTCGGAGTATTGGAACAAACTGGAAGTCCGCCAGTGATTTCAATGACACAACGCTCTGGATGAACCCCGGGGCTCTTGAAAACTTCAGGAAGCTGAATTTTTAAATTCGAAGTTTTGGTTCCTGCGCTGCTTTTCCTTATTGCATAGAGAGAGGGGCTCACTACGTCAGTGAATTTGGTTTGTTTCTGGTTTTCGGGAACTGCATCCAGCGAGATGCTATTCAAAAACTCCACACTTGCTTTGTAATTGGGTGAAAGTTCTTGTGTGCACCTCGAACAGTTCGATAGAATCTCTCTCTTCCCGTTTTCTAGGTTCCTGTCACTGTCTTTGATTGTCACAGCTTTGGGTGGTTTTGTCTGTACAAAGCTCTTCTTGTTTTCTGTGTGTGGTAAAGGTTTTACGACTCCATTGTTTACCACCGCAGTTGGCTGCTTTGGAACAATCTCATGAACATCAAGACGGATGTTAGATAGAAAGTCCAACGACGAATTCAGACCATTTCCATTCACAGAGCTGCTAGTTGGTGATGGGGGCTTACGCCTCTTATCAAGCAGAGCCGTCTTCCTCTTACTTACATTCGCGTGAATATCTACATGATTCCCATTCGATCTGTCAATGAAAAACAGAGTCAAGCCTCACTAAAACGACCACATACACAAACCTCCATTTGGCTTCCGGAGGATCGTCCGGAGGTTCCTCTTCGCAAAGATCATCATCTGTCTGATCGGCGCTGACATGCTCATTATGCATGGTAGCAGGAGAGGGATCAGCATTCATGGTGAATGAATGAATTGAGTATCAAAAGAGTATCAGCAGCAAGTAATTTCTATCTCAAGTTCGTCATGCTTAAATTTGGGCATAAGATCAGCATTGGCCGTGAACCTGCAACGAATCCTGTATCGCAATTTCCAAGGAATGAGGAGCTAGAAGGGTGCGTCGAAGGTTTGGTGGAGAACAAGAACGAACAGCACAAGAGGAGAAATACGGCAGGGAAACGAGACGGGGTAAGTTCTTGTTTGCGTGTGGAGGAGAGGGTTTTAGGAATGAACGGGTACAACGACGGAAGTGACGAGAAGATTGGGAATCAGGCTGCAGTCAGCTGCAGTCGAGAAGGAGGGCAGGGGAGGGGGGCGGGAAGGAGGGGCGGGAAGGGGAAGGAGAGAGATGCGGTCGGAGCAGGGGAAAGGAATGAAAAGAGAGCGAGGGCGATGGGGAATGGGAGGGAGGGTAATGCAGTAGGTGGGAGCAGGGGTGGTACATATGCCGGGGGGTAGACTTCTGGGGGGTGGGGTGTAAAGCAGTGATAAGCCCCTTATGACTAGGGTATTTTGATATGGATTAAGGGGTACTGAGATACAAGGCTTTTGCCAGGTAGATTATAGTGGATACGGTAGGGTAGGGGAACTAGTTAGTGGAAAGAAGCGGGTGGGGTAGTTGAAGGTAAGATGAAACTGGGGGGTAGGGATTTTACACACTTGGAAATCCTTTTGTCTGTATTTTCATATTAAACCGTGCTTTTTCAAACAATAGTCGAATTTTTTGTAGATTCAGGTATCCGAATCGAGATTTAGTTTTTAATCGTATTGGAACAAGTTCAAATTAGATAGAGAGAGTTTGTTCAAAGGAAAAAGCTCTGGAGCTGCAAACCAAATGAAATCAGTTTTGAAACTTAAAACATTTTATTCATCGGTGGCATTTATTATTCGTTGGAGATCTGGTAGACCGGTGGATTTCCCCATGCAAAAGTCTCATATGGCTGGGTACACGTCGGTAATGGGGTGGGTAAAACTGAGGGGTCATAAAAACCAAAAATGACTTTATTATTATTATATACTCTGATGCCTGAAATTGTGTAGAGGGTTCGACCTGTATTAAAAATCACTTATAATCTGCTGGCGGCCGGGCCCCGGTCGGAGTTACCCGGCCCTCACGGTGGTGGTACCGTCACTGAGATCGCTCGGACTCGAGAGCTGGACTTAGTCACTGTCCGATCTATGCACCGCCTGGGCGTAAGACTTTTGCCGTAAGCCCTCAGCACGAGTAGGGCGATAGGGGTACTCAGCGGTGAAGTAGAGGGGTACTCAGTGAGATTGATCCCTGCGTCTCGAGCTTCCGAGGAGAGGACTTCAAGGGCCTTCACTGTCGCGTCCTCATCAGCTTGACTGGAGCACTCCAGATCACCCCTTGACGCCCAGGCAGCGGGTGCTGGGAAACAGTTCGGGATCAGCTGGACAGTTCGGGATCAGCTGAATTCATGGTGGATGGAAGCTTCAAAGGCAGAAGTCGCGGCAGACAGATGAAAAGAGAAATGATTGTAAACATGACCATCAAGGCTGGTTACAACTCAGTTAATAACTCAAGGCACAGAAAAGTTTCACATCTCATCATGGCAATACAAGTGATGGTCCTGTTAGCACATACTTCACCCTCCGCTTCTCCAGCCTGCTCAGAGGAACAGAGGAAAGTTTCTTCTTGCAGTCGGCTCTCAGTCTCTGTCTCCACCTCTCTCAAGCACTCGGAGTCAGTCTGCCCTTGCATCAACTCAGCTTCCTTGTGCGCGAGCGTCGACCGGGTGGAAGGGAAGTGGGTGACGAGCAAAGAACACTGGAGAGTCACGGCAGCAGGAGAACCCTTGCAGGCGGTATTGCAGCTCTCCGACCCTTCTAGGACACAAACTTCCCACCTTCAAGTCCAGCTGCGGCAGGGCTTGAATATCCTGGCTGTTCAAGACTGCTGGGACTCAGTTGATGATCAACGGGAACCAGTGAGATGCTTCTCGTTTGAGTGGAGCACACCTGAGCCGGGAGAATATCAGATGCTTGTCTTGCTGTATCATGCGGAGGAAGGAGGGAGAATTCAACTTCACACCATGTTTGATGACGTGCTGCTTGTCAGAAACAACTCGGCGTCGATCTCCATGGAGCACGCGACTGTTGAAGGAGAGGCTCTATCGATGCCCCTGCGTCTCCAGGGTCAGGCAGGCAGGGAGTTGCTAGTTACAGTCTTGCTCACAGACATAAGAACCCTCCAGCAGTGGTCCAGCTTCTCCGTCGTCCGAATGGTTGACAAGGATCACTCCCACACGCTTCCTCTTGGGGCCCCGGCAGGGGGCGAATTTTTAGTATCAGTCACGATCTCAGAACTGAGGCAGAGCAGCAACTTGAGCTCGCTTCTTCCAGTCCTTGATGCACGGAAGCTTCTGATAACAGCTAGATGTGCGAGCTTCTGCCCCTTTGGCAGCCTCCACACCGTTTCTGACATACCACATGGACAACAAGCTGGGCAAGCTGGACAAGGTGCCCAGCCGATCACTTTCCCAGCTCCCCACCCGGAAGAAGCTTTGTGCAGCATTCAATTCTATCTGGAGCCTGAACAGCCTCAGGCAGGTTGGCCTTTGAGGTTGTTGATGGTCGGGCTGGGCCTGGTGCAAGGCTGCAGATATAACTTCCGAGTGTCAGTGTACTTGTATGAAACCGACACGATTGTGTTTGAGGGAAGAAAAGTCATTGACGGCTCCAACAGCACCACCTCCGTCGAGTTCTTCTTTCCATCCTGCTGGGCGGGAGAGTTCATGCTAACTATGGTGCTAGATGACGACAGCATTGGAGAAGAATCGTCGGATGCTGCCATCTCTAAGATCTCCCGACGCTTCCTCCCTCTCTGGCCTTGTGAAGTTTCCTACGCCTGGTCCTCTTCGCAGCGTCCGGTCTTCCACGGCTCGATGCCTTACGCCGAGTCTCCCTTGGCGGGTCACGTGAGTCTGAGTCAAGGTGGAGGAGGGAAGGAGCTCGGAGTGACGCTGACGACTCATGCGACGCTCGACGACATCTTTGAGCTCATCAGGGCCGCAGCTCACTGGGGGGAGGACATGGCAGTTGCGTTCTACGCTAGGAACGCCTCGGAGCATGGTCACGTCTTGTCGTTTGTGCAGCAAGAACTTGGCCCCTGGTTCGTGCGACGACGAAAGTCACTCGAGGCGGTTGTGCTCTCCGCCTGCCCAGACCCAAGGAACGATGATCAGATTCACGCGTATCCTCTCAACATGCTGCGGAAGATAGCTTGTGCCATCTCCAAGAACGAGCTGATTCTGCATGCCGACAACAACATGCTTGCTTCCGACAAGCTCGCTGAGCACATCAAGGAAGCATGCAGAAACGGTTGGACGGGGAGGGAAGAGCTGCTTGTTATCCCCTCCTTGAGATCAACAGGCGCATGGCCTCCAGCGGCAAGGATGGACGAGGAAGACGGTGACTGGGAGGTCAGACCGTCAGGCCTCACCATGACCGCCATGAAGCAGCAGCTGGAGGACTGCGGGCTGGTCATCCCATGCCTGGGATGCGGCATGTGGTCGCCCTCGACTCGCTGGTCACCCTACGGCACCTTTCACGCTCTCACCGAGTACGACAGGTGGATGGAGGCAGAGGAGACGTACGCGGTGCCGTACGTGCTCGGCTACCAGCCTTTCTTCCTCGCAAACCGGAGCGCTTGGAGGGGCAGCCAAGGAGCAGGCATGTACGACGATGGCTACTGGCAGGGAGAGTGGGGCAGGGCGTCGCTAGTGTTGGAGGCGGCGATGCTGGGCTACGTCTTGACGGTTCTCCCCAAGGGCTTCCTCGTCATCTCCTCGCAGTCCTCGAGTGCTCGTGACCGCGGCAGGGCGACGAAGCGCTTGGATCCTCGGCGAGCGACGCGAGGAGGGAGCGATGACGTGGCTTGCGCAGCCTCGGACGGGTTAGGGCAGCAGCTGATGCAGAGTCTGGTGCGGGCTCACGCCGACCGACAGCTGGGGATGGTGATACGATCATGCTCGCTGCTCGCCCTGCGGAGCGAGAGCTGCGACATCGCCAGCATCCGCCTGGTTCCCGACGAGACGATCGAGCGGGTGGGGGGGGAGTACAAGGTGGAGCTCAAGGTCTTGGGGCTGCCGAGGGACGGAGGGTTTCAGCTGTCGGCGTACAGGAGTGAAGGAGCGACCGACCAGGAGGCTCTGACCCACCACCTCATCCTCCCGCAACACGTGCGCCAAGACCCGCACCCTGTCAGCCTCGTCCTCGCGGACCTCGAGACGGGCTACCACAGGTTGAGAATCGTGCTGAGAGATCTTCAAGCAAGCATCTTCAAGCAGCAGGGAGCTGTCCTCTCCTCTGTAGAGCACGTCTTCTTTCTCCCAGCTGGAAGTTAGCCTGCGCCTTTGACCGTTTTCTCAGCTGGCCCATAACGACCAGTGTCTCCAAGCAACCGTCTGAGCAATGAGTAGCCTCAACCTGTATGACGGCAGCGAGCTGAGCCTGGGAGGGCTTCGGAGGGCTCTGGCTGCGAGCTTCGATGGGATGTCTCGGGCTCCGGTGATCGGATGATTGACGTCACGTGTCAAACTGCCAGGCTGCAGTGCGGCACGCTTCGCGGCCGCGTGATGGACGACTCGGAGCTCTTCCACGGTGTGGCCCGGGAACTCAGACCGGCCGTTGCAAGCTCGAACTTATCATCGGTGACCGTGCCTGGGTCCGTACAGTGATACTATAGTCAGCTCGTACTGATTTTTAACTTAAATTTGAGTGAATCCGTCAGCAGTAACCTTTGCGGCCGTGACTCTTGGCCGCCCGGCCGTCTTGAAGCTCTCAGTGCTCACTAGTACATTAGTCCATGGTGACCAATGGTTCCGAACCCACGGACTCCCGGCGGGAAACGATGGGAATTGTTGCCAAATTGAAACTTGGGGGCCATGATGGCCGCAGTGCGAACGGCGGTTGCCACTTCGGAAACCCGTAACCTTGAACCATTCAAGCTGCCGGGCCGCCTCTCCGATCGGGCGGGCCGACCGTACTCCGAGGCTCAGCAGCGGAGGGCCTCGGACTCGGAGGCCGGGCTGGGGCCCCCGGTACCGGCGTCGGACCGTCCCGAGTCCGCCCGGCCGGCCGGGCCGGCCCCCGCCCCGGTGATGAGTCGGCGGGGGCCCGGCGAACACCCCCCGGTCCCACTCGTACTCATGCCCTGGTCACTGAACTCGGAACGGTCGCCGTGACGGTTGAACCGGGGGCCGGCCCCACCGGCCGCAGAAAAGAGCGCCACTGGCCGGTAAACCTTCATTAATTAGTAGGTCCATCCCCTTCTCTCCTTTCCCCCACCGGGGTAGTAACTATCAAAAGAAGGGGTACCTTTACCTTGCTGTCCGGCAAACCTTCAATTAATGCCCCCCCGCTTCCTCCCAGCTCAACTTTGCTCCCTCCCTCCCTCCCTCCCTCCCTCCCTCCCTCCCTACCCTCTCGGTGGCCGTGCCCCCTGCGCTCTCACCAGACCCTCCTGACACAGCTACAGCCCTCTGAGCAGTGACAGCCTCTGCTGGTTCTCTAACTGAAATCCCCTCATTTGTTTGCCACCCTCCTACCTTGTTGTTCTCTCGTCTTCCTCCAACCTCCCTCCTCTCATCATCTTTGCGAAGTAGACCTGCCGTCTCTTTCATTCCCCTCGCGCACTCTCCGTCAGCAATCTTCAAGCGGCCTCAAGCTGGCCGGAAGCCCAGCAGCTTGTGCGGGAACTCTATCGTCCTATATCGCCTCTGGGTTGCGATCCACCATTGTTACTGAGCAGCGATACCCATGGCCACGCGGGAGGTAACGGAGGGTCCTGAGCGCGCGCTCGTGCGAAATCGAGAGGTGCACGTGGTGGACCTGAAGAGCAGCTGCGCATGCTGCAGACAAGGAGTGACCCGGGTGCCTGCGGAGGAGAATGACGCGCTGTTCAACTGCGAGCCTCCCTACAAGGTGCTCTTCTTCGCTGACGGAAGCGAGCGAAGTAAGCTAGATGTGGAACGAGAGCGAGACAAAATCCGCAGCAAGTTCAATGAGGGAGCATCTAGAGCAGCACAGAACGCAAACAACCTTCAGCTCATGGCCTTGGCGGAGAACGTCATCTTCGAGTACTCCTTCCAGAAAGACATCTCGCAGCTAGCTCGAGCAGTCGATGAGATCAAGCCGGTCATCCTGCATCTTGCCTGCCACGGCTCCAAGGAGGGAGTGATGACGATAGGAGGAAAGACCATCACCCCCCATGAGCTCGCTCGCTCTCTTTGCGGGATGGCTGAGAGCAACACAAGGCTGCGGCTGGTGGTGCTCAACTTGTGCTGGTCGGGCGTAGTCGCCATGGAGCTGAGCCAGCATGTGGACTTTGTGATCGGGCATGATGCTTCAGTAGAGGACAAGAACGCCATCGCCTTCTCCAAGAGCTTGTACTACTGGCTGGGTCGCAATATAACTCTCCTCAGCAATGTTGCATGCATGTCTCGTCCGTCATGTCGGACATTTCACCCGCTTGCTCGCGTTCCGAGTGAGGTGAGGACGTGGCGAGGGACGGAGCGACACTCCTCGAGCACAGACTTGAGCAACAGAGAGGAGGCGATCAGCCCCTGCCAAAGTCCAGCTGGCTGCATGAGCAACCACGTGCTGGAGGCTTCAAGACGATACGCACAAGAGGTGCAGGAGACAGGAGAAGCCAAGCAGCCGCCCAGCAGCACAGAGACCAGCATACCCGAGCCACTCGAGATCACTGCGAGCCCATGCGACCAGACAGACGTGACAGACCAGCGTCAGGCAGATCAGTGGGAGCATTTCGAGGCAGAAGAGCAGGTTGAAGCTGCCGGCACAGGCGCTGAGGCGCAGAGAGAAAGAGAGGTCGGAGGGGAGGACGAGCTCGGAGGGGAGGATGAGCTCGAGCTTGTTTGCAGACTCAGTGAAGCCGATACTCGCACGCGCGACGATCAAGCGTGGAGTGAGCCTCCTTGTACGCTGCTGGACGGTCGGGCAAGTAATGAAACATGGCGCCCTCCTTACACGCTGCTGGACAAGATCCATTGGGCCATCGATGTCGCTGAGAAGAAGGAGGACTGGCGGGAGGTGACTGAGATAATGAAGCAGCACGCGAGACAAGACGTGCAGGAGCTGGCGGCAAATGCTTTGCTCTCAATGGCAGGCGGTGAGGGCGAGACGTCTCCTACAGGGCGCTGGAAGGATGTAGCAGCGTCAAGGAGGAGCGCGCTAGAGGCCAAGTACAAGGAGATGTGGGAGGCGGGGGCTGTGGAAGCTTTGATACAGCAGATGGAGCGATGGCAAGATAGTGTCCACTTGCAAGAGGTAGGCTGTCAGGTGCTGTTGGTGAGCTCGAGACTAGCGGAGAACCAGGTCAACATCGTCCAAGCAGGAGCCTTCAAAGTCGTCCTCGCCTCCATGCGCGCGCACAAGACCGCCAACTTGCTCCAGGAGAAGGCGTGCGAGGTGCTGGGGAACTTTGCTCAAGAGGAGGAGAACCAAGTCAAGGTGATGGAGGCTGGAGGCGTCGACGAGATTCTTGCGGCGATGCTGAGCCATGAGGAGAGCGCGGGCGTGCAGGCGAGCGCGTGCAGGGCCCTGCGCAAGATGCTGCGCATGGACAAGGTCCGGGGGTTCATGGCGGAAGGGGATCGAGTGGAGGTCGTGCTAAGAGCTATGGAGCGCCATGCAGGGATCGCCGGCGTGCAGGCTGAGGGATGCGGAGCCCTCAAGAACGCGGTCCTCGCTAAGGCCGAAGACAAGCGCATGACCGTCAAGGTCGGTGAGGGCGGAGGCATCGACCGCATTATCGCCGCCATGCTCGAACATCAAGACAGCGAGAGGGTGCAGGGCCAGGCCTGCGCAGCCTTGAGAAACTTGTCGAGAGACCAGGCGACGCGAGGGCAGGTGGCCTGGGCTGGCGGCGTCGACGTGATCATGAGGAGCATGAAGCGGCATGAAGGAAGCGAGTACGTTGAGAAGCGAGCGTGCGGGGCTCTCTCCAACATCATTGGCAGCGACGCGCAACTCGCAGCTCATATCGCCGAGGCCGGAGGAGGCCGCGTGCTCATCGACGCCATTCGTCGTCACATCGGGAGCGCCGACGTGGTGGCTCAAGCTTGCGGTGCCCTGGGGAACCTTGCGCTCAGCAACGAGACCAAAGTGAAGATCAGCCAAGCCGGAGGCGTTGAGGCCGTTGCTGCTGCCATGCACCGTCACGAGGACCAGGCGCGAGTGCAGGAGAAAGCCATCATGTGCTTGGGCAACTTGAGCGTCTGTGAAGAGCTGCAAGTGAAGATCGTTCAGGCTCGAGGCATCGAAGCCATCGTCACCGCCATGCGCCGGCATGCAGACAACATGGCGGTGCAGCGGGTGGCGAGCTGGTCATTGTACACCATGATAGTTCGAAAGAGCAAGTCGATGTGGGGCGGAACGAAGAAGAGCGTCAACCTGCAGTACAAGGTCAGCTCCGAGCTCTGCCCTCCCTCTGTGACATCTCCTCACAGGACAGACTGCTCGGGGCAGGAGGGCGTCAGGCCGTCAAGCAGGCAGCAGATCGGTTTGACCGTGGGAGCGATGAGACATGGAAGGCTCGCAAGCTGCTGCACTTGATCTGAGCAGCCTCACTCACTCATACCTTTGAGTAAAGCATGCCAGGGAGTCACAGAGTCAGTGTTAGCCTACCGTACGACACCGCCGGCGTACCGTGTGTAGGGCCGGCCCGGGCCCCGCCGGTGCCCGGAGACGGTGGCGCGTTGACGAAAGATTATCCAAGTTCCGTTCCCAAGCATCTCCTGTGGGGGTTCGCGGTGTTCTCTGCCCTTCCCCGTGACAGAGCAGGGAGGATGGGCGTTGTGTTGACAGAGATGATAGATCTTTGCTACTTCGTGTAGTACCTGCAGCACTGTCCGTCATCCGGGACACACTGACTGTCCGACAACTTGTCCCCACGGGCATTTGTGACTCTCGGAGGCTTCAAGCTTGTTCAGGGTTCAACGGGTCACGGTTGCCAGCCAGGCTGACAGGCGTGAGCCGCGACTGACCCCGGGCCCAGTGAGCCGGGCCGCCCGACCTCGGGAGCCTGGCACCGGGAGCCGGAGTCCGAGAGCCTCGACTGGCCCACGCCACGTAGAACTTGCCATCAATCTTGAGAGAAAAGAAGCATTTACTGAGGGATGAACAGTGACTGCATCGGCTGCTGACATCATTCGTCGCACGGGTCCTCCTCCAGCATTTGCGCGGCCTGACGCCTGCGTTGAGTTGCGGAGTCGAAACTCTTCTGCTAGAAGGGTCTGTTCTCTCCTCCTGTTGTATGCCACGCTGATCTAGCATCGCTAGTAAACTCGACGTCACTACACCTCACCTTCATGTGATCCAGAGGAGGTGCCTGAGCATTCAATGTAGACGTCTGAAACCCGTAAAGCTTCGGGGTGTGGCACCAGGTCTCAGGCTTCAAATCCTCAATGCGACTAGATTCAGCATCAAAATTCTGATTTCAGGTGCTCAGAAGAAGATTGAAATCTTCTTACTTCTCGAGCTCATCTTCTTTCTCATCACATGGCTGGACTCAGTCGGGAGCGACTGAGCTTACATCATACATGATCCGACAACTTCGCATCACGGCGCGAAGGCAAGACAAAGTCATCATCCGCTGAATCACACATTGAATTGCAAAGGCAGATGCGTCGAGTGCGATCACTGAAGGTTCAGTTCCCAAGCTCACTTGAGACAGAAAAACATGCATTAACGACTCTAGCTAGACTGAGTCACAGGCTTAACTTCATCCTCGAGAGAGCCTGTGGCCCCCCCTCCCCCTCCTCTCTTTCTCCTCTTCCCATCTGCCGGGCCCTCGGGCCTGCTAGTCGCTCTGCCGCCCTCCAAGCGTCTCCTACGAATAGCCCCCCTCCCCCCCCACAATCCCCCTCAGCTCTCTCCCGCTCCGTCTTGACCTCTCCCCGCGGGTCTCCCCTCCTCCCGGTCCTTCTGCAGCTGACGGAAGTACTTCTGCGCATGCGATCGCACCTGCGACTCCGTGCGAGTCTTGACGTACTCGGCGATCTTCCGCGCGACCCCGGGCCCCAGCACCGCTCCTCGTCCTCCGTCGCTGGTCTCGCTCGTACTCGTCGTCGACTGGTAGGCGCGCAGGGCCTTGATGGACACGGCGGGGGCGGCAGGGGCTCCGGAGCTGGGCGACGGGTCATGAGGAGGGGCAGGAGGAGGAGCCTCGTCGTAGGCGAGGACGAAGGCGACGAGCGAGTAGTTCCATGGCTCGTCGGAGGGCGCAGGCAGCTCTGGGTCCAGGGAGAGAGCAGTGAGGGAAGACAGAGGATGAGCTGATCAGAAGGCGCTAAGAGGCGGTAGAGAGGAAGTTGAGGACAGGGATTGGAGGGATATACGGCCAGAGGAGGAGCAGAGTCGTTGTCTTCTTGTTACATCCAAGCTGAAGGATGTAACAAGAAGACAACGACTATCATCTGACAAGACAAGCTGAAGGATGTAACAAGAAGACAACGACTATCATCTGAAGAAGACAAGCTGAAGGATGTAACAAGAAGACAACGACTATCATCTGAAGAAGACAAGCTGACGGATGTAACGAGAAGTCAACGACTATCATCTGAGAAGAGAAGCTGAAGGATGTAACGAGAAGTCAACGACTATCATCTGGAAAGAGAAAGCTGAGTCGGAGTGGTTTACGGTGAGGTTGATGACTCATCCATGCTCACTGCAAGTTTTATCTCACGTTACAGTTCAGACTCAAAGTTGTCACATAGCGACAGGGATTGTGACTAAACATCGTCAATGCGGGTATCTGTTAGTATCCAAGGCAGCTATGTTTGCTCGGAGGCCTGCGCAGGCGCGATGGTGCTCCAAGCTTGCAGATGCATCAATGCTAGGGCTGCATCACTGAGACGAACTTGATGCGTCCGGGCTTGACTGAGATTGAAAGATATGTAGGAGCAAAGAGAGAGACTGAAAACCCACTCGGATATAAGCAACTCATGGAACAAGAAAAGTAACAACCCTTAAAGGCTGAACGAGTGCTTCTCAAACTGTTGGACAAACCTGGATTGCGGCACGAGCATTCTTCGTTGATGTTGCAAACCTGACACACAGATTCATCCGCTAGGAATGTTCATCTTGACTCAGTTTCATGATCAGAGCTGAGCCAGGGCTAGAAATACCAATCTCATCCTCGAGAGAGCCCCCTCAGCTCTCTCCCGCTCCGTCTTGACCTCTCCCCGCGGGTCTCCCCTCCTCCCGGTCCTTCTGCAGCTGACGGAAGTACTTCTGCGCATGCGATCGCACCTGCGACTCCGTGCGAGTCTTGACGTACTCGGCGATCTTCCGCGCGACCCCGGGCCCCAGCACCGCTCCTCGTCCTCCGTCGCTGGTCTCGCTCGTACTCGTCGTCGACTGGTAGGCGCGCAGGGCCTTGACGAAGCGAGCATGCTCGAGAGGCGTCCAGCGGTTACGAGGGTCGCGTTGCCGCTCTTCAGCCTGGCTCGAGCTGGGCACGGCGGGGGCGGCGGGGGCGGCGGGGGCGGCGGGGGCTCCGGAGCTGGGCGACGGGTCTTGAGGAGGGGCAGGAGGAGGAGCCTCGTCGTAGGCGAGGACGAAGGCGACGAGCGAGTAGTTCCATGGCTCGTCGGAGGGCGCAGGCAGCTCTGGGTCCATGGCGAGAGCGTCGCGTCAAAAGGGGACGTGGCTTGGATAGGACCGACGAGACGACGGCTGCGCGTATGGCGACAGGCGGGGGGGGCGGGGGACTGCAGGAGAGGAAGGGAGGAGGGTAGAGAGGAGGTCGGGGACACAGAGGGGATCTGGCGGTGTAGAGGGGGGCAGTGGCTGGTGGAGAAACACGAAGGCAGAGGAGACTGGACGGTTCTTGTAGGGCTTGGAGGAGGAGCCTAGAGAGGGTCGGGGAGCAGGAGAAATCAGAGGCAGCGAGTCTGCATGCCAGTTGGTCCGTCACTGAAAGGGGTAGGGGTGGTAAGTTTGTCACCCTTCAAGGCCACCGTACCGTTGCAAGTTAGTTTTTAGTAGTCACGTAGGGGGCTGTGCCGCCCGGTCCCACTCTCAATAGGTTTGAAACTTACAGTGGCTTTGACAAGATATGAATGGGGAGATTTGAAATTGAATTTGAATGCGGCCACGTTCAAAGGCGGCCCCGCGCCCGGCGTGAAACCAGTGACCCGGTGGTCACTGTCACTGGCGCGGCCGCGGCAGTGACCGCCGGCCGCCGGCGCGGCCCGGACAGTCACTGAGTGGCCCAGTGGGATCCGACTCTCGGATGGCTTTAGTAGTCTTTTGAAAATATTCTCACTTGAGTAAAAAATCGAGTATCATGGCTGCCCATTGCGAAACTTGACCACCTCGGCTTCTGGCACCACCACCACTTCCACCTCCTCGTCCTCCTGATCCTCCTCCTTCTCCTTCTCGTCTTCCTGATCCTCCTCTTCCTCCTCCTTCTCCTTCTCGTCTTCGTCCTCCTCTTTCTCCTCCTCGTCCTTGCCCTCGTCTTCTCGTTCTCCTCGTTGCTGCTGTTCCTATTGTTGTCTATTCCCCCTCCTTTGCTTTTTCTGCTCCTACTCATCCCCGACGTGCTCCAGCTCCAACTCCTCCTCGTCATACTTCGGACCCGCCTCGTTGCTTCCCCCTGATATTCACCTGCACTTTCCGTTCTTCGCCAACGTTTCAACAACCCACTCGATCTCACTTTCTACTTGCCAAAACTCTTATTGCTTTCACCCTTCCTCTTCAACGTATGTCTTTCCTACCGTCTCTATCCCTCCCCTCTCATCGCCTTCCTTTCCCGATGGATTAGACAGCCTTCCATCATCTAGTCCATACTCCTCAATGCCTACGATCCCTTGCCGCTGACCTCTGTTTCCCTGCTCTTCAATTGTTTCCTCTGCACCTTCACTCCTTCCTCTCTTCCACTTCCTCTGCTGGGGTCCCCTGGGTCGCCAGGAGGCTCCATGTACCCTCTGCTCCTCCTCCCACGACAAATCTGTACCAACCTGGATGTTTCAACCATTTCCCTCCTCCTCCTCCTCCCTCCTGTCATGGATTTGCTTGGTGCAGTTTGGCTGGCACTCGTCCTGACCTCGCTGCTGCCGTCAGTTTCCCTATCATGCTCGCGTGATCGATGAGGAGGAGCGACCTGTTCTCGTCGGGGTCGACGTCAGGAGCCAACTTCAGCTTCCATGACCACGTCTGGTCCTCTTGCGGCAGCTTCCCTGCCTGACGTCGTTTGCAGCATGCGGTGCAGGATGCTCTGAGAAGAGCGAAACAGACGCTGGAAGGGATCGAGCAGTCCAATGACGGAGGGATATCAGCGCAGGTAGCGGATACGCTCGAGCGGTCGATCACGAGGACGGGAAGGTGAGGGTGTGAAGGTGACGATGTAGATGACTGAGGGGATGGTTGGGTTGAGCAGGAGGATAGACGGGATCTTGTCGTATGTCACAGACAGGACAAGCGTCTACCGACAGACTCGTGAGGGAGATGGTGGGGATGAGGAAGAGTGTGAACGTCGCAAAGCTTGTTGAGACTGTGAACATGTTGTTTGCTGCCGTGTATCTTGTTTGCTTCTGCGTTTTCCTTGTCTGACTGTCTCACACCTTGTTGCTTCTGCGATCATCTTGCATGTCACTGTGTTCATGTCCCGTTTGTCTTCGTGCGCGCGATCTACTGAGGTCTCGTCGTTGTTGATAGCAATGACATGTCACCAGCAGGACCAGGAGCGCTATCACTGCACGCCTCCCCCTCCATCTCCTCCAGACCCGTCGCTCCTTCTCACCCACCGAACGACACCAGCTCTTCTCGACTGGAGGAAACCACTTCCTACCACAGCCGAGGAGGCGAGTCAGGCGGAGCGATGGCTCACCGCAGGGATCCTGATGCTGATGCCGAGCTTGCTCCCAGCAGCAGGAGGAGCCGACAGTCAGGTGGGCTCGCCTCGCCTTGCTCCTTGACCTGACGGTTGACCCCCAGAAGCTGCGTACGTAGACGTGGCTGGTGCTGAGAGCTGGAGGAAAGAGGAGCAGGAGAATGAAGCTGAGGAGGAGAAGGAGAAGGAGGAGAAGGAGAAGGAGAAGGAGAAGGAGAAGGAGGAGGAGAAAGAGAAGGAGAACAAGGATGAGACGGAGACGGCTGAGATGAGGAAGGGGAGGAACAAGGAGGAAGAGGCGGTGGTGGAGGAGAATGGAGATGCAGCGGAACTTTTGATGGGGATGGACTCCTTCCGAGGAGCGAGCTTGACTTTCACCCCCGAGCGATCGCGTGTGATGGACGCGATGCTGAGCAGGACGGGAGCGAAGAGAAGTCAGACATGGAGGATGAGCGATCAAACCAGCCCAGACCCTCCCGCCCTGCAGCCCCCCTGGTCGACAGCCTTGAAGACGGGAGGGGATGGAGTCACGAGTGCGAGCGGGAGGAGCAGAGTCTGGTTTCGTGCTGGGAGGGAGGAGGAGGACGAGGAGGGATCGAATGCGGAGGACGGAGGGTCGGGCTTGCTTCAAGCTGATGATGCGGTACAGCAAGACCTGTTCAAGGACATGGTCGGGACGGCGGCAGGAGACGCAGACAGCTCCAGTGCATGGAGTGGGAGGATGCGCATGAAGGCCAGGACGAGCAAGCTCGCAAGGAGGGAGGTGGAGAACGACTTGATGGAGTTCTGCGGGATGTCTCCCATCTCCCTCAGCATGCGGTCCATCTCGTCGCCCTTGTCTGTCTTCCCCTCTACGGCCAAGAAGTTCGCGGCTACAGGAGGAGGAGGAGGGAGGGAGGGAGAGGCCCTAGAACATCCGGCTATTCGGTACCTTTTCTCGATCCTCCCCAGCACCTTTACCTCCTCCTCCTTTGGCTTTTCTTTGCTCTTTGCCCCGTTCACTCTGGTTTTCGCGTCTCCCTCCTTCCTTTCTCCTCCTCCTCTCGTTCCTGCTCTTGATCTCCAACCTCGCTCCCTCCTTTCTTCTCCTCCCTCCTCCCCCATCTCCTCCTCCTTCCTGCCTGACAAACTTGGCAGGCCGTCCAAGAGGCTGTCGGAAATACTCAACGGGGGTGACGGGGAGGAGGGAGGGGACGCGGCTGACGCGGCTGACAGGCAGCGAAAGTTTCGAGGAGGAGGTGCAGCAAGTCATTCGGAACGTGGAGAGATACCGCAGCGAGAACGAGCTGAGCTCCATCAACTGCAGCTTGAGCAAGGAGGAAGCCGCTTCCCTGCATGAGAGCTTGCAGGTCTGAGGAGGGGAGAAGAGAGGGATGAGAAGGAGAGCGGGTGCGGGGAGGAGGGAGACTGGGTGTGTGAGAGTCAGGTGGAGGGTGGAGTTAGAGGAATAAGGGGGACGAAAGAGGAAAAGATGAGGTCAGCGTGCGGACAGGAGGAGGAGAGTAGATGGAGGAAGAGGGAAGAGGAGGAGGAGTGGGGGGGGGGGGAGGAGGGGGAGGAGGACTTGGCATCTTCCGCGTCCCTCCTCTTGACCTCTCAACAGAATCTCGGCAAGAGCATCGACTCGAGCATGCGCAACCTCGAGAAGGTTATGAACCTCCAGGCGGTGAAACTTCTCCTCCCCTGCTCGTCTTCCACCTGACCCCCAGCAGGCCCAGACGAGGCACGTGAGGGAGGAGATCGAGCGGGTGATCGACCAGCGGGTCGCCGAGGCTGAGACCAGCCAGCTCTAGAGGCCTGTGGATAGCTGAGATGGTGCTGGGGAGGGAGATTGTCATGTTTCAAAATTTTCAAGGTTGATATGAATGTCACGAGGTCTTTACGAGTTGCTGCCGTGACTGGCTCGCCAGAGCTCTCATCGATCGTGCTGCTAGCACAGGACGAGCTCAGGGGGCAAGAAGCGAGCAGCTTGCCCGTCATCTCCTTGACCGGCTGCTCCTCCTCCCTTGTCGAGACGAAGAGTCTTTCTCTGCTCCGGCTTTCCTCTCGCCCTCCTCGCTCTCGCCCTTCTCCTCCTATCAAACGCCATGGTTTCAGATTCCCTCCTGCTCTCCCTGCCAACTCTCCCACCCCCTCCTCTGACCCCCAACTTGCACTGCGCCTCCCCTGGACCCCTCCCCTCTCCCTCCTACCCCTCTCGATCCTCTCTCCCCCGCCGCTGTCAGGCCTCCTCTTCCTCACCTCTGTCTTGGATGTCTTTCCTTTCGCGTCCCCACTGCTCTCTGCTTCTCCCTTGCTCTCGGGCTGAGGGTAGCCAAGGTCATCTCCAGCACAAGCAGCGCACACTTCTCACCTCTGCTGGGCTGGTCTGCTCAACGACTTTGCCCTTCTCCCTCCTCGAGGTCCTCTCTCCCCTCTTTGAGCTCCGTCGCGGCCTCGTCTCCTGCTCCTCCTGCTCCTCCTGTTGCTGCTGCTGCTCGGGCTCCCCACCTTGTTCTTGTCCCTCCTCCGGCCCCTCCTCGGCTTGAGCTTCAGGCTCAGCTTGTTCCGACCTCTCTGCCTGGTCCTGCACGCAAGTTCACAGCAAGGACTATCATCGAGCACCTCTTACCTGAGAGTTCTCGTCTGGCTGCAAGTCATTCTCACTCAGCTCCTTGCTGTATCGCCCGGCCTCCTCCACCAGGTGGTCGAAACCTCCATCGTCTTCCTGCTCGTTGTCGTTCTGCTCATCCTCAGCATCGTTCGCGACATCCGTGTTCGTCATCTCCGCATCTGTCCCTGCCTCCTCCTCACTGTCCGGGCTGTTCTCGGCCTCCTTCACCTCCAGCTTCTTTCTCGCTTCCTCCTCCTCCACCTCCATCGGTATCCTCTTCAGGCGCTCCTCTTGCCACATCCTCACCTTCTCGGATCGCATGCTGGTATTGAAATTTGCAGGACACCTGAAACGTTTTGGTCTGTGTTGGTAGTCCCAGGTGTGAGCACAGAAAGTCACTTTGTCTTCGCCATATCGCATCTCCAACCCAGCATACTGCTCCAGCTCTTCAACAAGTATTCGCTTACTGGCTTCGTCACTTGACTTCTTCTCGAGGTTCCTGATCAGATAAGGAACTTTCTCTCGGTCTTCAATCACGCTGCCGATTGCGACGAAATCGTCGAACCAGTCCTCTTTTCTCTTCTCGCACTTGTGATCGCACTTCCCACTATGCTTCATCTCCAGCAGGGCGAGCGTCAGGACGTCACGCTTGGTATCGAAGAAGAAACCGAAGCACCCGTCCTCTCCGGTCAGGTACGAAGCGTTGCTGAAGTACTCCGTCGACGACTTCTCATCGAGCTCCGCCTCCGACGCTTCCATCCCAGCTCGTACACGTTCATACTCGTGCAGCGCGAGATGCCGAGAGCCGCTCTGCGTGCTTATCTCCGAAGTCAGGGCCTGCACCTGACCCAGCAGCTTCTCGACCACTTTCTCTAGAGTATACAGCTCGTAAGAGTTGGTCCCCAGAAGCATCCTGCAGTCATCCTCGAACTTGGAGGTATCTATGCTTCCCTCCACTAGCTGCACCAGCATCCGCATGAACTTGTCGTACACCGACTCTTGAGCAGACATCGCGCAGTCACCTCCTGCCTTGCCCTCCTCCTCTTCTCCCTCAGTGCTCTTCTTGCCAGCTTTGCCTTCGTTTCCCTCTCGCAGATCTGCGTCATCGTCGGCTTGTTTTTGCATCGCTGCAGAAAGTTCCTTGGCTTTCAGAAGCCTTTCATACAGCTTCTGATACAGCCGGAAGAAGACGTAGCATGATAGATTCCCATAGAAGACCTTCACGCCTTGATCGACTTTGATCGCATTAGGATCGAGGTCTCGTTCCTCAGCATCGGAATATATCTTCAACGGGATCCAATCAGGCGAAAGATTGTGAACAGCTTGCCACAGATCTTCTTCCTCCTCCTCCGAGCCCTCTTCCTCTTCTTCCGCATCCTCGTCGTCCTCGTCCTCGTCGTCCTCGTCATCCTTGGCCTTCCCACTCTTGCTACCTTTCAAGGACTCTTCTTCAGCGAGATCGTCCGCTTCTTCCGTTTCCTTGGCACTCACGCCTTCACCCGCATTCTCAGTTTTCGGTTCTTCATCTTCATCTTTCATCTCCTCATCCTGATCCTTCGTTTCAAGAGGAGTCGACTTCTTCGTAGCCGAGCTGCTCTGTCTTTCTGTCAAGGTTTCATACCTTCTCTCCTTGCGTCCAAGGCATCTAGCCTTCGCCTTCAAGTCCTCGAGGCTTCGCTTCTTTAATCCAAACATGACATGAACGAATGAAGTGAAGAACTTCGTAACTCTTGCTTCGGCTCCTTCCAGGAATTCAGTTGATGCGCTTTTGCTCACAATTTCGAGAATGTCCATGTGGATATCCCTCCTTCCCATGTCAAATGTCAAGAAAGGAGTTTCCGTTTGGCTCGACATCCCAAAGTCGTACGCAGATCGGATCTCATACAGGAAGTTCTTGGCACTCAATCCCTTCTTGTCTACCTGCTTGAAGTAGAAACTGCGATGATCCAACGACTTGTAGTAGTTGTCCTTGTATACTTCTCGCCAGATCTTGTTCATGTCTCGTCGCGCTTTCCTCCATTCATCATCTTTCTGCCTCAGTCTCGGCAAGACGACATTGAGCGCAACACGAGGAGCTCTCTTGAGATGTTCAACAATTTCCGGACCATAATCTCCGTAGACTCGTTCGATCGCCTTGAAGTGGATTGCCTTGAGTGAAGACAGATTCAGCTTCTGAGCTCGGCTCCTATCCTTGTCATTTTCATCCACAATCTGCTCCAAGAGTCTCAAAGTTGAAGCATTTGCTTCAATCAACATGTCCAGTTCGAATCGATCGTCCTCACACTTGAATAGTGACTCTTCGTACTGGTTTTTCCTGTAATGAGTGTAATTGAAGTCTTCTGATCCGGATGGAACCGAAACCCATTCATCGTTGAGGACAAATTCGCACAATTCTGTTCTCCCAGAACAAGCCGGTAGTGGGTAGTCCTTCGGGAGGCTCTTGTAGCTGATTCCAGCCGAAAGGCAATTGCTGAAATCGATCTCGCTGATTGGGATGTGGTACTTATACTTGTTTCCTGAACCTTCTCTTATACCCAGGAAACCCTTCAAGTCGTCAAAAATTTCGCGGATGCCTGGGCTGACCATCATATCCTCAAGAACTGTCACCAACTCATGTGCAGACAAAACATCTTGAATGTAGAGACTGACACACTTCAAAAAATCCGAGTAGCAATTCGATCCTTGCTCCATCAGTTTCTGCTTCAGTTTTTCCAGCAAGGCTACTTCTTTGTGTAGATCCACAGCCTCCGACTTCTTCTCAACCTTCTTAGACTTGGACGACGAGGATTGCGACGAGCCTTGCTCCTGTTTCGTTGACTCTGTCTTGGACTTTACTGCGCTCGTTTGTTGCTTTGCGTTAGAATCTTGTGGTTGCGACGTTGATTGCGCAGAAGCATAGGCGGTAGCCTGCATTGTGCTCTGACCTGCATTCTTGTCGCCTTCAGTCTTGACTGTAACTGGCTTGTTCTTCTTGACAGTTTTCTGCGGATTCGTTGCTTTGTTTGCGGGGTCTGGCAGGAAGTTTCCAAATTCTCCAAGCAAATCATCATGACCAGCAAAAAGTTCAGCGACCTGCTGCTTGACCTGCGCAATCGCCGATCCTTCCTCCTTGTACCTCTGAAGGATCTGCAAAAATTTCTGGTAGACTTCCTGGTCGTTTGCAAATCGCTGCTTGATCTTCGAGACATATGAGTAAGCATGATCGAATTCAGGGGCACTTTTTTTCGCTGCTTGAGTCGGTTTTTTGTTTGCTTGCATTTGTGGCATTGCAGAGGCCATTGGATTGTTGGGTCCAGTCGGGGCCTGACCTGTCGGCTGCCGGATTTCAATCTTGTAACCCTGAGGAAGAAACGTGTTGAATCCCAAAATCAAATTTTGATGGCCCGAGAAAAGTTTCGACACCCTTTCAATCACCTTCTGGGTGTCGATAGAATGGGATTTGAAGTCCTTCATGATATCCAAGAATTTGTTGTAGACCTCAGGGTTGTCTCCAAACTGACTCTTGACTTGGTTCAAATAGTCCAGAGCATCTGTTTCCTTCAGCTGCTTCTTCGCATCGTTGACCCGACCGGCCATTCCAGGATTTCCAGGGCTTCTGACGACATATCCGTCTCCTGCCGACGAAGCAATGCTGCTCAGAGCCTGTGGAACATGCTGCTGCGGGGGCTTGTTGGGCTGCGGTGCTGACGGCAAGCTTCCAATGTGCGGGACGGATTGCTGGATAGGAGCAATACCCGGGTTGCCAGGCTTTGGACCTAGAGGTCCCGTTGTTGCTTGAGTGAGACTTGAAAGTGGCTGCAAGGTTGGGCCCGTGAGGCCCGGAGTCAGTGGCGACTGTCCTGCTCCACCTGCCTGCGGGTTGAGCATGAGAGGCGAAGGAAGGACCTGAGGAGTCACAGAGGAGGCCAAAGGGCTGGGATGAGACAAGACAGGCTTGCCGGACGGGATCACGTTCCTCTGCAACGTGCTTGCCTGATGCAGCATGGACGGCGTGACCTGCGCGCTGAGGCCCTGAGGAACAGTTGCAGGCAGCGAGCCAGGTTTGGGTAGGATTCCGAGTCCACCATTCCCACCAGTCGTTATAGGCGGCAGCGAGATGGGGGGAGAGGCTCCTTCACCGAAGGTTTCAGTGACGCTTCCTGTCGTTCGGGCGATCTTCGCTTCTGGGACCGTACCAGGGGGGTCGCTGGTTGCAGGTCGTTTGCTGCCTAAGCCCCCCGTCTCTGAAGGCTGATCCATGGCGACACCAATTTGGCCTGCACTCTGAGGAAGCAGTTAGTATCGCATGAAAGGATCCGAGGAGGAGAAAGCGCTGAGAATGGGCGGCAAGGGACGTTATGCAGAGAAACAGAAGTGGTCTGAGAGAATGGTGTGAAAGTCTATGGAGGCTAGATAATCCACTCAACAAAGCTGTAAGCTGTATCTAATGAACCATAGATGCCTGAAAAATCACCAAAGTGCAATGCGCAGACATATTTTGTCAAAATTGAAGCACGTTCGCTTGAGTTGCATCGGTTGGAAGGTAAATCTACCAAAATTTAGCAACGGATCGAAACTGCAGCATTGAAGGGAGTATTTTTATGGAGACACAGACACATCATACACTTGTCAACTATGAAAGAGCCACACAAGGATGTTTCGCAAAATGCAAAAACGAGCGAGCCACAGGTCTGTCAGAAGTGAAGAGACACAGTCGGCATCAGGGAAAGACCGAACAGGGGACAGGAGAGGGGGGAATTTCGTTAAGATTACAGATAGTATGTTCTCTAGAGTGATGGAAGGAAGGTGAAGGAGCACATGAGGTCGACTGGATCACCAGGAACAGTCAGGACTCAAAGTACGGCAGCAACTTGGTAGCAAAAGATTTTGGATAAAACGAGTGTACAGCATGATCAGAAGGTGTGGGAGAGTAGAGAAACAGGAGGATGACACGAACTTTGTGTTGTAGATGAAGAGCAGAAGATGATGGCATAGTAACTTTCCCTGTTATATGCACGCTTGCAGCTAAGAAAAATGCGCTGCAAGTTGCGATCAATGTGGTGGAGCAAGCTTTTGGATGGGACCATGTACGCTAGAGGGATTGAGGGTAGTCAGAGGAGTATGCATGGCGTCATGTCAGAGGAGTAATATGATGATTTCAGTCGTGCATGCGCGTTGCGGCCATCTCGGGAGAGCTGCATGGTTTGCGGCGGCGGGGATCCTGTGGTGTCAAGGCAGAAAGGTGGGTGGAAGTGGACGGGTGGGTCCCATTAATGTGGGGTAGTGGAATGAAGGGGTGGTAGTCTATGATCGCATGACCATTTTTACCTATGACTTCAATAATAAAATGTTACAGGATACGTAGGTGCTCAGAAAGATCTTGAAATTTGAGGGTAGGGTTATCATTTCCTGCAATACCACACTACGGGGCGGGGAAAAGGGGGGGTACTTTTCAGTCCACGAACACGGTGGGGTCTGGAATCGCCCAGGAACGGGGGTCACCTTGAGGTACGAGAAATGAAGAGGATCACATGTATCCTTCAGGATACTTCCAGTCCCGGCCCGGCGCTTTTTCAGTTCCGCCGGTTGCAGCCCGGGCCCGGCCGGACCTGAGGGGGGCCCATGCAAATCTTGCAGAATGTTCGCCATGGCACGTGAAGAGGGAAGGGGGCGAAGCAAGCAAGGGCATGGCATGGCATGGCATGGCATGGCATAGTATGAGGTTAGACCGTGCTGCTAACAGTAGCTGTCCAAGCTAGCTCAGAAAGTTCTAGGAAGGAGGGAGAAGAGGAGTGGAGATGCATGCTGCGATCAGCTTAGGGCTCTGATCCGATGAGCAGCAGCAAGAACCAGGGAACTGAAGCACTTGGGGATGCGTTGCGTTCTTCTCATTGCCGAAAGAGAGGAGACGAGTACATTCGTGTCTCTTGTTGAAAGTTGCTCGGCAGGATGCCTCAACCGAGCGTCTTCGACGAGCTACAAGCGATCTCAGGCAACGATGGCGAGCGGATCAACCAAGGTAAGGGGGAGGAGGTGAGTGGCCCACGCCTGACTGTCTGCTGTCAAAGTGCAAGGACGGGAGACAGCTGCTGAGTACGCGAGGAGGATCAAGAATCTCGTGCAGGAGCGGGAGGCGTCCGAGCGCGCAGAGGAAGAGCGAGTGCTGTCAAAGTTCGCAGGCTTGCAGCTCGACAAGGCTGAGGACATGGCAGAGGCGGCCCTGCTGCTGTGCCAATCGCTGAAGGATGGCGTGATTGCTCGAGGATTGCTCCTTGCCAGGTGAAGCAGCGGCTGTGTCCTCTGTCGTGACCTGACTTGCCCAGGGAATTTCTGAAGCGGACCTGCTCCTTTGAAGGGGCGTACGAGTTCAAGGAGGAGAGCGCAGAGGAGTGCGAGTCGAGGGATTTTGCGGACTTGAAGGAGCGGATGCAGGAGTTTGTGAGAGGAGGAGGAGGAGGAGGAGGAGGAGGAGGAGGAGAGGACGTGCAGTCGCGTGCTTTGGCTGTCATGTGGATGGGAGCGATATTCTTGAACGTGTTTGTTGCAAGCAACTGGACTGGCCCTCCCATGAAGATTCATTTCTCTCCCCTTCCCTGCCATGCCGAGGTAGAGAGCTCGAGCGAGACGGCGGCGAAGTTGAACGCGGCGAGCCAGCATGCGCTGGAGCAAGACAGGTTTGTAGCTTGTTGGTTGCTTAGCGAAGCTGTTGTTGTTGTCTTGGCGTTGTGTTTGGAAGTTGATAATGCAATCCTGGAAATAGTTTGCATTTAGATCGTTTTGTCACTCATAAGAAGGCTGATTGCGAGTGAGATGCTGATGCTGCTTCTGAGGATGATGGAGATGATGATGGAGATGATGATGATGATGGAGATGACGATGACGATGATGAGCGTTGAAGACTTCCCCTTGAATTGCTAACACATCCCGGCAGTGAAATGTTCTACGATGGAGCGGAGAAGCCCATCTACCTTCGAGCCGCGATCACCCTGTTGTTCGACGTGATGTCAGAGTCGAGAGTCCGTCCCTTGTCCCTGCCATGGTGGTCGGCGAGAGCGGTTGGGATTCAGCAGCGTCTCCTCCATGTCAGATCTCTCATGTTCTGCTCTGCTCGACAAGTTTGAGATTTTAAGATCAGGGAAGGAGCTCTACTCTGCATGAGAGGTTATTCGAACTGTGGAAGGATGCCGAAGATGCGCTGGGGAGCTGTCCAGGTGTCATTATGAAGATAGATGTGATAATGATGGTGATGGTGATGGTGATGGTGATGGTGATTGTGATTGTGATTGTGATGGTGGTGGTGATGATGATGGTGGTGGTGGTGGTGGTGGTGGTGGTGGTGGTGGTGGTGGTGGTGGTGGTGGTGGTGGTGGTGGTTATGATGATGGTGCTGATGATGGTGGTGGTGATGGTGATGGTGATGGTGATGGTGGTGGTGGTGGTGGTGGTGATGGTGGTGATGGTGGTGGTGGTGGTGGTGGTGGTGATGATGATGATGACGACCTCACTTTGCTCTCCCCCTGATCTCTTACTTTAGATCTGGGAGAACTACCGTACAGCAGCCATTCGTCTCAAGAGGTGGCAGCTTGTCCTCAACGCTACTGTAGAGTTGTTGTCACTCAAGGAAAAAGAAGTTGACATCGAGGTCTGACTCTCCTCCTCCTCCTCCCAATGCTCCTCCTCCCAAGCTCCTCCTCCTAATGCTGGTGCTGGTGCTGGTGCTGGTGCTGGTGCTGGTGCTGGTGTTGAGGGTAATTGGCAGATCCTCGAGGTGCTTGTTAGATGTGCCATCGGCAAGAAACAAGAGGAGGAGGAGAAGAATACAAGCTTCGTGATGGGGGTCGAGAAGCTACTCAAGGTTCCTCCATCCTCCGTTCCCTTCACCTCCCTCCTCCTCCCTCCTCCTCCTTCCTCCTCCCTCCTCCTCCCTCTTCGCCCCTTCTCCCTTCCTTACTCCTTCAACTTTATTTTTCCTGCTGCTTGTGCTCGTGCTCGTGCTCGAGCTCCTGTCCTTTATTTCCCGCATCCTTCTAAATCTTCCTTTAGACCTGCAGCACTCTTGGAGGCATTACAGACAATCATCGCTACTGGCTGGTCTGCAGCTTTCCTCCTCTCTCCCCACCTCTCCCCTCCTCTCCCTCCTCTCTCCTCCTCTCTCCTCTCTCCTCTCTCATTCTCCCTGCTCTCTTGCAACCCCCCCCGCTTCTCCCCCTTCCTTCCGCTCTTTCCTCTCCTCTTCACTTCTCTCAATTTCGTTCAGATCTACGCCGAGTGGCTCAAGGAAGAAGGAAATCTTGCGCATGAGCTCGACTGCCACAGCAAGGTCAGCAAGAGCAGCTGATTCAGAAGCAGGAGGAGCAGGAGCGGGAGCAGAGGCAGGAGCAGGAGCAGGAGCAGGAGCAGGAGCAGGAGCAGGAGCAGGAGCAGGAGCAGGAGCAGGAGCAGAGGCAGGAGCAGAGGCAGGAGCAGGAGCAGGAGCAGGAGCAGGAGGATCAGGATCAGGATCAGAGGCAGGAGCAGGAGCAGGAGCAGGAGGATAGAGGATGGAGCAGGAGCAAGAGGAGGAGCAGGAGCAGAATAGGATCTTCCCACCCCAACACAAGTTCCTTTCACCTGATATCTTCAAGTTTTCTCACCCCATCTCGCTTCTGCATTATCGTGCGAGCTCTCCCATTCCTTCCTCTTCCCTTCTCCTCTCTTCTATCTGATTTCTCCCTCCCCAGGCTCTCAGGGCGAGTCAGTCAGCTGGATGGCAGTCAGATGCCAACAAGTTCGAGCAAGTCGTGGACGTGCTGTCGCGCCTGACAGACGCTTACCTGAGGTACTTCCTCCCTCCCTCCCTCCCTTCTCTTCGCTTCTCCACCCTTCACCCTCCTCCCTCTTCCCTCCGCACTCTGTCCTCCTCCCTCACCTCCTCCTCTGCAGCTCTCCCCCTCCTCCTCCCCTCTCCCTCCCTCACTCTTCTGTTCTTCTTCCCCCTCCCTCCCAAGGTCTCCTTGTCGACCTTCACCATCTCTTCAACTTTCTCCTCCTGCTAACTTGTCTACCTCGCCCAGGGAAGGAAGCTCGCAGAAACTCTTCTCAGCTCGTTCAGCTCTCAGCTCCGCCCTCGTTAAGTCCAAGGATGCGTTCGAGGGGCACGAGGTAAGGACACGAGAGGGGACGAGACGAGAGAAGAACAGGAGGGAGGAGGAGGGGGAAGAAAGAAGTGGAGGGAAGAGCAGGGGGGGAGGGGGAAGAGGAGGAAGACGAAGGGAAGGGGAGAGGAGAAAGGGGGAGGAGAAGGGGAGAGGTGGGCAGAGAAGAGGTAGGGAAGGGGATGGAATTGTGGAAGGTGTGCGGGGAAAGGCGAAGTGAAAGGATGGGATGAAGGGGATGTATGAAACAGTGGGGGTTTGGCTTTCATTCCGCTACTTGTCTCTCCTGATTTCAGAGCAGGGCTACCAGACCCTCCAGAGTCTGCTGGAGCGAGTGAAGTCGTCCTCCCCGTCATCTCAGTGATGCAAGCAGGAAAGCTGCTGTCTATCGCACGAGGAAGAGGATGAGTTGGTACAGGCGGAGCAAGGAGCAAGGGGCAAGGGACCGGCAGCAGCACAGCAAGACTAGAGGAGGGAGGAGGAGAGAGGGAGGGAGAAATAACAAGATCGAACTATCGAGGTATCTCCGCTGAGCAAGAGCTCAACAAGACACCATGGCAAACTCCTCCCTCCCGGTCATATCTCGTACATGAACTTTATCGGCCCAGGTCTCAGTCGGACCTCCTCGAACAGACTGCTGCTGAAAGGCTTCAGCGGACGAGGCAGGAGCATGAACGGATGCCGTCCTGACCTGCTCGGTTGCACGTTGGGAGTTGAGAGCAGCTGCGGCGGGACTTCGCTGCTGTCGACCTCCATCTCCGCATCCTCGCTTGCAAGTGCGTTGCACCAGAACTTTAACAACACTGTCAGAGGAGGCAGTGCTGGGGCAAGGCAACACGTTGAAACAACACATTGAAACAAAACGTTGAACAACACATTGAAACAACGCGTCGAAACAACACGTTGACACAACACATTGAAACAACACATTGAAACAACACATTGAAACAAAACAACACGTTGAAACAACACGTTGAAACAACACGTTGAAACAACACGTTGAAACAACACGTTGACACAACGCGTTGAAGCATCGCACAACTCATGAGACCGCACAGTCGGAATCATCTCAACAACACCAGCACCCACACTAACACATCCAGCACCTGCTGATGTGCCATCATCCTACTCGCATTCACCAGCGCCCCGCACGCCCGGCACAGCACGCTGCTCCCGTCCTCCGCCGCGTCCATGATGATCTGAAGAACCAGCCGTCAATGTTTCACATGCTCGTATGCCGGGGAGAAAGCTCCTTACCCGCTCCCTCCCGCTGTCTGCAAGGAGAGACTGCTCAGTCCCCAGCTCACTCTCAGTCCCCACAGGCTGCAGGAGGAACCATTCGGGGCCAGGGCGAGCAGACGAGGCTACAACCCGCTGATGGTTCTCACGAGCATTCTTGAGAGCCTCTAGCACAGCCTTCTCACCCCCCCCTCGTTCTCTGATCACGTCAGTGACCTGAGAAACATCAGGACCACCTGCCGATCAAACTCTCACGCCTCCTGCTCCTGCTCCTGCTCCTGCTCCTGCTCCTGCTCCTGCTCCTGCTCCTGCTTCTCCCCGTCTCCCCACCCTGCTTCTCGCTCCTCCTCCAGCCCCCTCCTGCACCTTCCAGCCCCCTCCTGCTTCTGACCACCACCTGCCTCTTTCCTCCTCCTCCTCACCATGGCCAGGGCTTTCAACGTCCCGTCGTAAGTTTGTTCCGACGCATGCATCCTGGCTTGCCTCAACATCTTTGAACTTTCCATCAACAACAATGCGCATGCACAGCAAGAGAGGAAGACCTCTTCGTAGTACGCATCCTTCTCATTCTTCGCCTGCTCTCCCTCCATCGACGAACCGGCTGACCTTTCGCTGATGTTGCACATCTGATCAAACAGCTCCGCCCACGAAGAGCTCATCTCTCCCCTACGATGGACGAAGTCAAGCACGGCAAGCTCAGTTATCTATCACCCCCGCTCCATTCCTCATCCTCTCAACGAGTTCTGCACATTCTCTCCTTGACCTCCCTCAGCTTTCTTGTTTCTCACGTGCGATTCACAAACCTTTGCTGTCGACCGCGACCAACACAGTGTCACGTCTGCTGCACATCTCATCCTCGTTTCTATCGCATTGAAACCGCGAATGTATCACGCCAATGTCTGCATTTCTACCGCATCCCTCCTCCACCCCCTTTCCCCCCATCCTTTAGGTTGATTGCCAACAAACAAACCAACACATCTTTCACCCTGTGAACCAATATTTGCCTTCCTGCTCCTTCTACATACCCTCTGTCTACCTTTCTGCATCCTCCTCCTGCCTTCTCCTCCCTCCCTCTGCCCCTGCCTTCTCCTCCCTCCCTCCCCTCCCTCCCTCCTCCCCTGCCATCCCTGCGAAATTTCGCCGCAATACCCCCGCAAAAAATTGTTTTTACAATTTTACGGAGGGGGATGAGGGCTACTTTTAGTTCGTTATTTACGCCCCTCAGACGTAACGGAAATGGCAGTGGAGTGACGCGGATAGGAGGGAGGGAGGGAGGGAGGGAGGGGAGGGGAGGGGAAGAGACGGGAGGGGGAGGATGAGGAATGGAAGGAAGATATGAGAGGAGGGAGGGAGGGGATGAGAGAGGAGGAGTCTTGATATAGAGGAGAGCGAGGTGAGGCAGGGGGAAAGCCGTCCCTGGTTGATCAGGGATACAGAAGCGCATGAAGGGTGGGTAGCCGGTGAGACGGTCATATGGAGGTCCAGGTTGGAGGGAGTCAAAGGATGGTTGCTGGCAGGAGGAGAGGAGGAGAAAAGGAGAGGAGGAGAGGAGGAGAGGAGGAGAGGGGGGAAAAGGGGAGGGGGCATATTGCTCACATGCCGAGATTACGACTGACGTTTTTACAAGAGCATGTACTCTTTCACCAGTCCTGCCCCTCAGATGCCGATGCCGGTAGTGCATGCAATGCCATGTTGCCGTAGACTGACGCGACACACAAAGGGGTACAACGGCGTCAATTCCTTTCAAGGGAACCCTTACCAGCCATCCTACCTGCAGCAAACTGGGGTACGCTGCCGTGAGGGATTGAGATGAGCACTGAAAGGAGGTGGCAGCGAGGAGCTCCCATGCCTTCAAGTTCGAACCCCATGTCGTTCAACTCTCAGCCTCAAGTGCATCGAGTGAGCCAGCTGGACGTACAGAGGGCGGTGAGTGCTGTGCTGTTCCCTTGCGCCAGCGACAAGAGGGTGACTGTGTCTTGATCAGATGTATGAGGAGCTTCAGCAGCAAGTAGGGATAGGGTGTTGTTTGCTAGTGAGTGACAGAGTTGTAGCAGAACTCTGCGCAGAGCCAGCAGCAGGATCGATGGCAGCAAGGGTGAGAAGCGTGGAGGAGAATAGAGGGCGAGGGAGAGTGAGACTTTCCCTCAGGAGACCATCCATGACAAGTTTCCCTGACATGCGCTCAACAACGTTGGAACTTTTCTCTATGTCTATCCATCTCTCTTGACCTCTCTTGACCTCTCTTGACCTCTCTTGACCTCTGTTGACCTCTGTTGACCTCTCTTCCTCATCACGTAAGACACTCTGATGTTTCTGTCTTGCTTTGGCCCTGCAGCTCCGATCTTCGCTTGCATCAACCGCCTTCGAATCAGGTTGACGTTCTCAGCCGCATGCTGCGACCGTGTGCTGATAAGTCTGCCTCAAGATACCTGGGCTCGATATGGACAAGGAGAGGCTGAAAGCGCAGGCAGACGAGCTGCAGGGTGAGCATGGTGGATAGGTGACGACCTGTACTGACGGCGACCGAAGGCGTCGTCGACCGGCAGACGTTAGAGATCAGGAGGAGGTATATGCTGTGCGATCGCGCTTCCTCTCTTTGAAATGTTCTGATTCTTGGCTCCTCGTCCTCAATCTCGATTGCCCCGCGTCAGGAATGAGGAGCTACTCGAGCTTCAGCGAAACCATGAGGCGTTCAGAGAAAAGTTCATTCTATTCAGGGTATGACTCCCGTTCTCATGTTGGACGCTCACCCGTTTGCTCCTCATGTTACATGTCTCCTCGTTCTCGTTCTCGTTCTCGTTCTCGTTCTCGTTCTCGTTCTCGTTCTCGTTCTCGTTCTCGTTCTCGTTCTCGTTCTCGTTCTCGTTCTCCCTCCTCACTTTTCTCCTCCTCCTCCTCCTCCTCCTCCTGCTTCTCTTTTCGCTGCTGCTGCTGCTGTCCCCCTACCACGATCACTCCTCGGACCCCGAACTGTCCGGGCTTCACTTCAAACCGATGGCAGTGACTTCTTCCTGGTAGGAAGGGGTTCGATCGAAAACAGATGAGACCGATGCAAGGTACTCGACCATCCCTAGCATGCCAACTAGTCTTGACGCCCTGCAGATGCCGAAAGCTCGAGGCCCAACTGAGAGCGTCCAAGGCGAGACCGGACTTTCTTCCTCTCCCTTCCTCTTCTTCGCTCTTCGTCTTTCCTTCTTCATCTTATTCCCTCCTCTTCCTTGCTCCTCCTTGCTCCTCCTTGCTCCTCCTTGCTCCTCCCTCCTCCTCCTCCCTCCTGCGCTCTCTTCTCTCCTCGTTTCATTTCTTCTCTCCTCTCGCCTCTCTCTTCATGGATCGAGGCTTGCAGGAGCTGATTTGCTCGGTTGGACAGGACGAGCTGGCGAACAGACGGGCGCAGCTGGAGGAAGGGAGGAGTGAGAATGGTCAGTCCTACCCAGTGCCGTGCACGACACGCTGACCGATGTTTCAATGAAGGTTTTCATCGCCTCGATGGACTGCGCTCTGTCGTCAGAGATCTGGAGAGAAAGGTGAGCAACTTTGTTGTGCACAGTTTGTCTTCTTTGTTATGTTATTCAATGCCTTACTCAAGTATCTATCCTTGACACTCAATATGTTCAGGCTGACGCGTTATCAACGGAGAAGAAAGATCTGGAGGCGAAGGTGGCGAGCCGTCAGGGTGTTGAGAGGGCCAGTCACTGACATGTTATCTGAATCAAGTTGGCAAGCATACGATCAGGAAATCAGAGTGATATCCAAGTACGACATTCACAATCCCCCCACGTCTCTTGCTTGTTCTCAAAGCAAGATTTCTCTCTTAAACCCTTTCTCCTCCTGCTCCTCCTGCTCCTCCTGCTCCTCCTCCTCCTAGTTTTTCTCTCCCCTCTCTCCCTCTTCCTCGTCCTTCTCTTCCTTTTCTCCCCCTCCCCCACCCCCCTCTTCTCTTCCTTCCCCTTCTCTTCCTCACCTTCTTCTCCTCTCCTTATTTCCGCATGACGAACCCCTACGTTGACTTGACTTGAAACAGAACGAGATCCACGCCAAGGAAACCATGATCAGCGACTTTCGCACTAGGGTGGAGAAGCAGGTGAAGTCGTTTGCAGGGCAGGATGCCGTCTCATGAGCACTGCAGGCTGAGTTCATCCGTTTTCAAACGGCCAAGGTGGCAGAGCTCGAGCAGCATCTCGAGCAGCTCCGGGAGGCTCCTGAGGTGAGAGGAGATGAAGGGGCGAGGAGGAGAGGAGACGATGGTCTAGGAGAGAATTGAGGAGGGGAGAACGAGGGATGATGTGGGAGTAGTTGGGGTAAGTGTGAGGAGAGGGAGGAAAGGAAATGGGAGAGGGGAAAGAGATGGGGCGAGAAGAAAGAAATAAGCGCTGATTCCTTCATGTCAGCCTTCGAGTCTTCAGTCAGAGAGCGACTACAGGGTGAGAAAACTCTCCACGTCGAGCTCATCACGGTCTCATCGAGTGCCAGGAGCGTGAGTTAGAAGCTGCCATCTCCCACAATGCGAGGTCGCTCGAGATGCAGAAGGTGAGCAGACTGGGCACGTGCTGACCTGGCGCTGGGGACTCAAGGGCTCCGTTACCGCAGAGCAAGATCGCGGACTTGAGGAGCATCCTGGAGGACGAGAGGAGGAAGGCCGAGCAACTGCGAGAATCGGTGACGTCATCATCTGCATGCTCCTCCTCGAGTGTGGCCGTGACGTTTCTTCCTTGGTCGGGTGTCTGTGGGTTGGCAGGTGCGAGAAGCTGAGGAGCAAAGGAAGTAAGGAGACTCTGTTGCTTCGCTGCATCGCAGCCTGTTCACATTGCTTCTTTTCTGATCCTGATCCTGATCCTGATCCTGATCCTGATCCTGATCCTGATCCTGATCCTGATCCTGATCCTGATCCTGATCCTGATCCTGATCCTGAGCCTGATCCTGATCCTGATCCTGATCCTGATCCTGATCCTGATCCTGGATCCTGATCCTGATC